TAAAGCAATTGTTGAACAAATAATTATTAATCCATATAAGATTTTAGGTTCCTCTTCATTAAAGTATCAATTAATATTACCTTCTGGAATAGCAATAACCAGTTACAGATACTTTGATCCAATCAAATCAGAGTTTATCCCTTATAATCTTACATTCAGGATCATTGCTTTAGATAAGTTTAAGGAATAAATTATGGGTTTGCCAGGATCTTATTGTACTTTATAACCAAAAGCCTTTAATTTAAGTTCTTAAAGAGAATAGTATAATGTCTAATATAGTCTATCCTAATATGATGTTGTATTTAACGAGACTACAGGGGATTATAATTTGGATAATCTAATCATTTACTTTAATCCTACTTATGAGTAGGATATTGCTCTTCGATTATCTATTTAATGCAATAGTGTTTCAGTTCCTTAATATAAAGAAAGTCCGCCGTTTTAAATTTATAATTATGTAAAAAATTATAAATTATTTGTTGATATTCGGACATTTCCTTGTTAATTAGGAGAATTCTTAAATCAAACTTCTGGGGGATGTGTTCTATGCGACAGCTTTTAGAATTAATACTAAGTAACTTGGGCAGCGTAAAATTGTAGTTATAAAGATGATTCAAAAATTAAATCATTAGAATCAAGTATGATAGAACTAAGGGAACATTATTGGAGAGCATACTATTATAGTTAAACTATTGAACATTGTTATCATTTGGTGGAGAATTGTAAAGGCGGTTGGAGACCAGGAGATGAATCATGCATATAAGGACACATTGGAGCATTATGCGAATAGTGTGATTTATATGATTCTAGAGTGAGTGGATCTTACTCTGTAAGTTCCGCCTATTCATGTGGAAGTTGTGATTTAATAGCTTATAATGTAATGACGATAATATTTGTGAGCCCAGTGAGTAGCACGATAGAAATGATTGAAGAATTTGTAAAAGGTTTAAGCTTGAAAGCTTTTGGAGTTAGAGTAGCAATAAAAGAAGCTTAAACGGCTATTCTAATCAAAGTATTCACAAATTATCTTCAAATTATTTCGACCATTTCTACTTTTTAATTGCAAGTTCCAATTGGGATAGCTTCAGTTGTCAACACTGTTGGTAATCCTATTGAATCACTTGCTTATTCATTAGATTGCTTTTTAGCTTCGATCACAGATATTTTGATAATATACTTCAGAATAATTTGGAGCCTGATTATGACTTCTACTTATATAACAGTTATTTTTAGTTTATTTGGAATTGCAATAATTATAAAGCAAATAAAGTTCAACTTTTCTTTTATTTCTACATCTTTGATATATTTATTCATATTTTTGTAGCCAAATTTGGTAGGAGGTATCGTTTCTTTATTATCTTACAGAAAGATATCAGATGAATATTGGATTTAAGGGAATGTAGCCTATAGATACGACACAATTTTACATGCTAAATGGGTGATCACATTTTGCTTACCCTTATTATTCACCTTTGGATGTATACTTCCTTGCTTTTTGTGGTATGGTGTCTATAAAAATAAGGACCACTTAGATTTTTCATCTGTAAGAAAGACTTGGGGATATTTGTATAATGAATATCGGATTCATGCTTATTTTTGGGAAACCTTAAAGATAATGCAAAAAGAAATCATTATTATTGTTTTGGCCTATTATGATGATCATGTCCCAATAAAAGCATCCTTAGTATTTCTTGTTTTATTTGGTTATACTTTTATAGCAATCAAACAGAAACCATACATGACTGGATAATTAAATCTAATTGACACCTAATCAACAGTCATTTGTGCCGTATCCATTATTTTAGCTAGTTCTATATACACAGCACAATAATAATAGCTGTATGAAATTGTATGGCCTTTTTATCTCATAATTGGCTTTCTTAATGGCTTTTATATTCTTCGAATGTTAATATAGATTCTATTTGCTTATTTCAACAAGCTTAATGATAAAATAGATATTTTAAAAGAAATAATATAAAATTACTTCCCGAATTTTGTGAAGTATCATCCCTTCTTGAAAAACTTCTTTGAGACCTACAAAAACAAACAATATAGAATTAGTCAAAAATTCACAAAATTAAGAGAGTATCTAATACCATAAGCTCGTATGATTTTAGAGTTTAAAAAGTATAATTCATTTTTAATTTAGATTAAAACGATTAGAGTTATCTTCAAAAAACACTGTTTCAAAAATGATAGATAAGGAACAACATGAAACTGAACAATTATTTTCTGCTGAAGTATTTAGTGTCAATAATCTAATCCATTTGAACACGTTATAACAAGTTCAAATAAAAAAAAATGAATTCTCATTTCCTAATACTAAATTAGAATAAACCTCATTTGCACTTTAATCCTAAAGAGATTATGTTAAATAAAACTAAAACCCAGAGAAGGCATAATTAAATTTTGAGCAAAAAAATGATTGATGTAAATATCTTCGCAAATAATATTTCCCAATTTTTTTTTCTTATAAATCATCCTGATCAACATATGCAATAATTTTTATTTAAAATTGAAATTTAATCTAATAATTGTAAGGTTTAGTATTAACTAAATTTAGACACAAAAAAATTAATATTATTTTTAAAATTAAATTGGTTTAAATGATTAAACAATTAACTTTTTAAAATATAATTATTTAGCTTATCAAATGAGTATTAATCTTTCAGTTTATTAAATTTATCATTTTTCATCACTATCCTTGATGATATAATTTGAGCTCAGTAAACCCTATTTAGATAATTATATTCAGGGATGAGATTCCAAAAATAGAAGCTACATTCTTTAATAAATCTTTTAATTAATCAACAACAATTATTATTATTATATTCATTCTACCTAATTGAAAAAATATTCTTAACAACTACTAATTAAAGCATCATGTGTATGTAAAATTTAATGAAATCTCAAAAGTGATCATAAATTTTCAAATTTATAATAAATTTGATTTCGCAATTATTTAATAAATTTAGAAAGTAGATATTTTAGATGTCAATTAGTAGTAGAAATTATTCATTAGTTAGGTTTATAAGTTTCTTGTTAAAATTTGAGATTGATTTTTAGATTCCAAGTTTAGGTAATGGTCCTTACAATATGTTTATTTGAAAATTAATTGGGTCAATAGAGTGGAATTTTATAAGTAAAAAAATTTATGGCAAGTTTAAGAAATAAATACTTCAAAGCTTGTTTAATAATATTGATAATAAAAATAAATATGTGATTTGCAAAATTTAATAATTTTTCTTTTCAACTTTACCATCTTAAAGGAAATAGGATTGAAGTAGGTTTTTCTTATATGACCATTTAAAGAGGCAGTGATAGACAAATCCCTATGGTGATTCTGAAGATTGCCTTCTTCAGTTTGTCATACAAATTTTGCGTGCTTGAATCTTCACCCACAAGACAAGATCTGTCTCCAAAAATGCCAAAGCAAAAGGGAGCTATTCCTGATCCTTACTCTATGGCTTCCTTTTAACATCTCTTTTCCTTGAAAGCAAGGTTAACCTAATTAGAAACTGGTTGCACAATATATTCACAAAAATTTTTTATATAAGGCATTTCCATACTTTTTTTTTTTTTATATACATAAATTAAATAAAACTAAAATATTAGTGAATTATAAAGATAATTATAAGGAATCAAAATGTATTAGAGTATTTGGGATACATAAACACAGTACTCTATCGAAGACTCTTATAATCTACCCAATAACTTTGCTTCCAATTACATAAATTTATCAAAAACTATATAAAATGTAAGTAAAATATGTATTTAAAAATAAAAATGCACTTGAAAATACATTTGCTTAAAAATAAAATTCAAAATTAGCAAATACATCATTACTTATCAGAGTGGAGAATAAAATATATGACTATAAATGGGAGCTTAACATTTCCTAAGTTAGACTTTTAATAAAGTCAACTTATAAGAGAACCCCAAAATTATGACTTCAAGCAGCTCTTCAAATCTGCCTATACAGAGCATCCTTATTGAGAAAGACATCATTTTAGAACTAATATATTTGTGATGCTTAGTTGGAATGATCGATACTCCTCTCACATTTCAAGATCTATATCAAACCTAATACAACAAATTTTTAACAAAGTTTCTAGTTGAAGAGATTAAGCATATCAAAATGCCTTTTAAATTTTGTTTGATTTAGAATAAATTACTCAATCTTGTACTATTATTAAACTGTATTTTGTGTTATTGGATTTACTGAAGAGGATAACATTAGTAAGTTGAATTAATCTACTCTCTTAATTGTTTGAAAAACTTATTATAATTTAAATGACTTTTAGTTCTTAAATCATCATTAAATTAAATCGGTTAATCTTTTTATAAATGTATATTGTTCATTAATCATATTAAATTTCATAGACTTTGAATTTGGGGTTTGGTTGTCCAATCCATGTCACTAAATACTTTCCATTCTTAGAGATATTAAAGACTTTTGTATTTTCATTGCAATTTATGGAATTCTTTGGAATATTCTATAATTATAGACTAAATTGTGTAATAAAAAATATCTTTTAAGGATTTTTAATAATGAATAATTACCTCATTTCATTATAAACCAATTCGTAAGGGCTATTGCAAATCTTTTAGTGGCTATTAATGTCAGATCTTAAGTTATGGCTATAGAAGTTTTCATTATTCTTTTTGATGAATTCTTCTATTTTTCCATTAGAAGTAAAAGTAATTATTTTGTCATTAGATTAAAAAAAAGCACTTAAGATTCTCGAACCTGAAGCATCAATTGACTATGTGAAATTCCATAATCCTCTCTAATTTTTTGTCCAAATTATAATTTGATCATCTTCATCACATGATACCATAGTATCATGCGATTTACTTAAGCTTGCACAATTTACTTATTTATTATGTTTTAACAAATTTTATATTTCTTCAACTATGTTTTCTTGCTAAATTATTTTGTAGATCCCTATTTTTCCTGTTGAACTACAACAAATCAATTAGTCTTCTGCCTCATTCATAATTAGGTATGTAATCTTGCTTGAATTTAATTTTTTGGTTAATTTCTGCTACCAACCTTAATTGTCATCGCTCAAGTTCCAACATATTAAAAAAGAGTCATCACTTTCAGATACTAAATAATTCCGCTTTTTGCTTATAATTATACTTCTTATATTTTGTTCATGTCCTTTAAGTACAATTTTATTATCAATCATCTTATCCTATTGGAAATCCCATACTTTTAGATTTTAACCTTGACCAGCAATTATTTTAGAATTATCAAAATTAAAAGTTAAAACTTAACATAATTCTTGTTATTCGAATTCATATAATAATTTATGGTTAATCTCTTGATATTTTGGAGGGATATCCAAACTGTCGTTGAATTTCTAAATTAGATTTTAGAATTGTTATTATTCTTATTTAAGTTTCATTTAAAACTATTTAACAAATAAAGCAATTTACTCTTACATTTCTTTTTTTTCATTTTCAATCAGAAAATTCTCAGTTGCATTCATATAATCAATCTCTTTTAATAGACTAAAATAGTTTAGTTATTCTATTTAATTCTTGATTCTTTCTTCAAACTTACAGACATTTAATTGAAATTGCTCTAAAAAAGATTATAAATTTTTCGATTCTTTCTTCAAATTTTCAATCATTGAATTAAAATCATCTAAGTAGTATGACATAAGACCCTAAATTTAATCTCTAGCTTTCATTTTTCTCTTAAAAATTTATTCTTTTCGAAATTCCAATTTCTCACAACATATTTTATCCATTTCATTTAGACATTGATCACATCCTAATTTTTCTTAACCTTTCAACTACTCATCACAAAAGACATAAGTTGCTTCTACATTGTGCTTTAAGCATAAAATCTATTATTATTTTTCTGTCATATACATTTTTCTATCATCTAAAACAATATGTTGGATATTAGATAAAGCAGGTAAAACAGATGATGCAACGAATCTATTTTCATTTGTTTCAACTGGCAGGTTTTTAATAAAGCCATAATATTAAATAGAATCTTAGGTAATTTCTTGTTAATAAGATTCGTCATTTTTATAAAAATTGTTCAATTTTTATGCAATCAGATTCTATTATTAATTCATGATAGATTGTTGTAACAACTTCTTTTGTTTTTCATCTTAAGCTTAATTCATTTAACAATCGCCTTATTCTTTCAAATCTTTTTCAATCTCGTAAATGCATTATTCGTTTTACTTTGTAAGTAATTTAAGATTCTCTAAATTCAAGCAATCACTATTTTCTTATTCCCTTTCTGATATGTGCAATTAAGAATTATTTCCAATTGAATTACATTTCTAACTCTCTTTCATTTGCACTATCATTTACTTTGATCCTTTTATCCCTTGCCTAAATATTCTAGCAAACCCTAATTCTTTTAATCTACTACTTTAAGGTAAAAATGACATGATCACATGTATCCCTCCATTCTGTTCTAATTGTGCATTTATTTTTGTAATTATTAATAAAATCAATTGATATGTTGCAATATTTGTACTATAAGGTTCAATTTCAATTTTAGAGATCTTATCATTTTCTGTATATTTGATGATCTTTTAAGACCTAGATATTTCTCTATATATTTTATTCATTTCACCTTCACTTTAAGCAATGATCAACACAGCTTTATTATTTTATTTTTATTCTTATACTGCATTAATAATATTATTAAACCATTCATGTTCAGATTTCATTGTTATTCCTTGTAATTCATCTATGGGATTTTGTGAATGAGCAGAAATTTATACACAGTCAAGATTGTACTTCTTTGCTAAAAAACTTTACTCTTCTGATCCTAAAAATCCTGTTAATCCCAACAATCTTTCTTAATAAAATAAAATATTTTATTAAAACTTAGTTTTAATTTGAATATATGAATCCGTTGAAGTGCCTACAGGAAATAAAGAATCTATCTCATCATTCAAAATAATATAGCCTTATACTCCATATTTATTACTCTTTTGATGGCTCAAAACATCTCCATAAATGACTTAATTTTAATAACTAGAGCTCATTTATTCAGAATGCCCAATTTAGTCATTGATATTATAGGAAACTGAAACATTACATAAATTATAAAATTATGTTAATTCTTTGGATTTTTGAATAGCCAAAGAATTTGAACCGATTATGATATAGACATTCTTTAGCTTTTTCTTTACTAATAGTATTGCTAGGAGGGCTGTAATCAAAGTTTTCCCTTCTCCAGGAGAAATTTCTGCTATTCTTCCTTTCGACCCATGCTCATATAGTTCTAGGACAACTAATAGTTAAGAGGGTTGAAGAACTTATTGAAATTGTTTTTTAACCAAATTCCAGAGAAGAATTGTGTCTTCTAACTCAATAGAGGAAGATGAAGAAAAATTCTATGTTTCATTAAATTACTAATCTTGTAATAGATGTAAAATAGTCTTTTTAATCTAGTTGATTGAATTTTCATTTTTACTTGTTTTCAGAGATTCCAACTTGTTTAAATAGGTAATATAATCATCATCCATATAAATTAGCTGTAAAAATTCAGCATTATTGTAAAAGTCAAATCCAAAGGCATGTTAAATAATTGGAGAAAGGTGTTGATTTTTTTCAATGTACTCAATAATTGATTGTGAGTCTTTCTCATTTATTTTTTTTTCTTTGGTCAAATTTTTCACAAAGTTAATTTACTCTATTTATGTTAATACTTTGTTTTACTCTTTAGGTAAGAAATTTTATTGCATATCTACTTATGATAAATATGTGAGTTTTTTTGTTAATTATTAATTTATACCAAAATGAATGATAGAATAATAAATATTTATTTTAATTGAACTAATCATATATAAATTATTTGATTGTATTTTTTTTGGCACAACTTTAGTTGTCACCATAATTTTGTTGTTGATATATTTTAAATATAATCTCATGATAATTTAGGAAATTCCTACTCATTATTTGTATCCACCTTCTGTTATTGTTTTTAGACAACTTTTGGAACAACGCCCTTTTGAACAAACTCAGTATCAGGTGCATTTTCATAAAATGATCTTTTCTCCTTAATCAATTCAATAGTTTAGTCAATTTAAGTTGAATAAAATGGAACAGCCACTTTAATTTGATCGAAATATTGGAAAGTTGTTAAATCATGTTACAGGAATTATTCCTAAAAATAAGAATCATTATAAATACCCCTTCCTTCTTTTCAAACTTTGTGAAGTAAGCAATCAAACTATCGCACAACTCTAAAATAAATAATACAATAATTTACTTATTAAGTGTTCTCTTAGTGTTTCATTATTTCCTTCATAACCTGACTCCTCCGTTATTTATTCTTCTTCATCTTCGATTTCTTGAAGGTTATTAGGATCATCTATTGCTATAACATTGAAATGTCTTTCAATCTTTTTGGTATGCTTTTCTTCTGTCTTTTTGATCCTATCAATCTTTTAGAGGATATAGTCTCTGTGTTTTTAAAGATCTTCTGGATTCTCAAATTGATCCTTCATTTTAATGTAGGCTTAGATAAGGACTAAAACTCTTTAAGCAACTCCAAATTAGAATTGAATCTTCTCTCTCTCTTTGTTAATTATGAATTTTAAATTTTTTTGATTTTGTGTTATGTTATCTTTTGTTTACTATAACTCTTTCTTGATTTGATGGTACTTGGCGTGATCTTCAGAATATTTTGCTAGCATCTATCTCAGAACTTGCAATTTTGAAGCAGCAAATTCAAATTCATCATGAACTAATTTAGTGCTGCCTAAACTTAATTGTTTTTAAGAGTCTGAAGCTTCTTAAAATAGCAATTCTACTTGTTGCTAATGAAATAGATGAAAAATTTACTAAAGCCTATCCAAACAGATCAATTTCCTTTTGTATAGCAGCTGTCCACTCCTTGCTTTTTAATTCATCAAGAGTCTTGTTTGGATGAATTTCTGGATGTGCCAATGCTACTTTTGAGGGCTTCTTCTATTTTTGACTAGTTTTTGGCTGTTGAATATAATGATTCATAAAATAAATTAATTGGATATGGTAATGATAATCAACGCATTATTATATTGAATTTATTAATCTATTTTTTTTTAAATACCTAGCCAATTAATTTCAATTTCTGTAACAGTGTTATTCGCATAAATTGTGTTGCTTTATGTAAATAAGATTTAATTAAAAATAATAATTTAAATCCATTCACATTTTTTGTGAAAATCTGATTGGTTAAGGTTCTGCAATAAATAAATTATTCCTTCATTAAAATTTTATCTAATTATTAAGACTTATAAAAACTCTCATTTAATAATTTACAGCAAATTGAAAATTCCAATGTAATTTTTTACAATGCTCCTTTGTTATGATAAATTCACTTAATATAATCTCTTGGTGAAAATTATTCATTTTTTCTATTTCTCACCAGAAATCATCAATTGATCGATTGGCTTTGGTTCAAATAAATCTCAGCTCTCAGAGTTCTATGGAATGACTGCTTGATTTTTCTAATAAATCAACCACCTAATAGGGTCGCTAAATTTCAACCACCTTATAGGGTCGTTAAATTTCAATTTGATTAGAGTTGCCCATAATTATATATTTTATTAAATAAATGTTAAGACCCAAATTTTATAATATCAATTTGTAATATAAGGTGAAGATACATTAATGTTTTTATGAATAAATAGAAAATAGTATATTCACAAATTTCATCCCAAGATTGAGAATTAATAATAAGAGACAAAAGTTCCTTAGAAATGTTGTTAATTTTGGAAATTTCGTCAGTATGGAGATCCATTTGCATATCATTTGGAATGGCTTTCAACCTAAGCTGATTTAATATTTATAGAGAATGAATACAACATATAAAGAATTAGAATTCAGAGTTTATGTGAGAGTATTTTAAATATTCAAATTCATAGATAATTATGTATTATTATAGATTTGAGATCTTATAAAAGTCAATCATCTGATATAGAATTCAAATAATCCCTAAAAACAACAAGATTATTCCATATGATAAAAGCAGAAACATCTAGTTTTTACAAATTTCGCATTTTTCGCTATCTGGATTCCAAGCATATGAATATATGGTGTACGACAAGCACTAATTTTATTTTAATTTTTCTATATCTAAATTAGAACATTAGTTTTCTTTCCAAGTACACAATGTAACATTTTTCTAATCAAAGGAAAGATAATATTGGCAATTCTCCTCTGATAATTTAGAACAATCTAAGGATTTGCATGAACCATCCCAATAACAAGTACTCTTATCGCAAGTCTATTTTGTGTTATAATCAGCACAATTATTTATTTTTCTTGTTTCACAAGTTTTTGTTTACAAATTTTTGACACATAATAGATCTTCATCAGTTACAAGCCATTTACAGCTTTCATATGGAATTTTATCGCAATTGACAATACTCTTTGCGGAATCATTACTTCTGTCCATGCATTTGATATTCATAGATATAAAATCAATTGAATCAGGATCAGCTTAGCATTTTATTAATTCATAACATCTATCAGCATAAGAAGCTGGAAAACTAAAATCAGAACAAGCTTTAAAATCTTCGCATTTACCAATTGTGTAATTCCAAACACAGTTAAATGGCTCTGGAACTGCTTGGCAATCGCCTTTAGTAAATTCTTCGCATTTTTTATTTTAGCACTCCTCATTTTCAATATCCCAATTACAAAAATCTCGAAAACAATCTTATGGTGTTTTTAAGTTTTCACAGGTGCACTAATAAAATTAGGAGAGACTCAAAGTTGTGATTGACTATCCATTAACCAATAATAGAAATCCAATCAAGTAATAGTAGATCATAATTTACTTTATATTACAATTTGGAAATATTATAACTTCAAACTATTAAAGGAATAAAATATTAATAGATGAAAAATTATTCTACTTGATATTGGACTGGAGAGAATCTAATATCCGATTATTTTCATTTAACTTAATCTGAGATACGTAAAATAAATAGAGTAGAAAATTTTATAAAGAATTAAAATTAACCTTTAAATAGCAATAATCTATTATTCCTATTAAAGTAAATAATTAATACGAGTAATAAGAGAGGGAAACAATAAATTAAATAAAATCCAATAACAATCTATCAAATTGCTATAAAAAAAATTAAATACATATTATATCTCAGTCATAAATTGTACTTTCTAACTTGTATTTCTTTTTATTTATCATCCCAAGTAATTAAATATTCACCATCATTGCTTAATGTACCAAATAGCTTTTTGGAATGAAATTCAATAGAAAAATCAAGGGTTAATTCTGAATTAGGATGCATACTTAAAAAATTTAGGCTTGACCCGTTTTTGTTTACTAACAACTATTTTTATTTTATGAATTATTAAGGGAATAGACTATCACAATCCTCTCCATTTTAAACTGAAACTTCTTTAGTCTTAGTGTATTATCCATTATTCATATCATAAATATATAATTTATTAAAATTTCTTGGTTAGAAACAAAATGCACTGTTATTTATGAAACAAACTCTTATTCCAAATTACTCATTCATAATTGTTTAACAAAGATTCCAAGTATCATTTTACAATTTAAAAACCAATATTTTATTATCCCTTCCGCTTGAAACTAATATATTTGACTACTCATTTAGACATAAGCCATAAACAATATTGGTATGATCTCTGATAGTTTATTTACACATCCATAGTTTTTCTAGTGCCCAGATTTTAATAGTATTATCTGCACTTCCAGATATTATAAGGTCTTCTTTTCTCGAGTATATCAGACAAAATATACTACTCTAATGGAAATCTAAATTTTATACGCAAGCCCAATAATTTGTTTTTTTTCTTTCCCAAATTTTAATAGATTAATCTTAACTCCCAGAAATAAAATTATTAGATTTTTTAAAAAAAGTCAAACAATAAACATCACCTGAATGTTAATTAATGATTGTTTGAATAGGTATTAATTATCCATAATTCAATTAGAATATCTATATTCTCTTCCTACATGCAGCAATTACAAGTGAGGAATCTTTATTAATAGAAAGTGCATAACAAGTCTCACATTGTTTGATTGAGCATTATTACAATAGTTAATATTTAACAACCTTTTTTTATTCTTAGTTTGTAATTATTTATTATGTTTCTCTCTTGCTAACTTCAGCTTTCCTCTCATTTGTGTTAATTAGTTCTTATTCCAAAAGTTAATCACCAGACTTTAATCTCTTTAAGATATCTTAACAATTTATGATTAAACAATCAAAATTTTTTTTCTGAATTTCCTCTAAACTTTACAAGTCCTCTTTTAATTTATCATCTACCTATTCTATGTAATTTGGTTAACTCAGTATGTTTACAATTGTACTCATTCCTTATAAGTTGTCAGCTGACCATATTTCTTAAGTTGTCTTTTTTTTTTATCTAATATTATCTATTTAAATATTAAATTTCTGGTTCTACTCTCTTTTGTGTTGCTATATCAATTATGAGATTTTATTTTCGAAATCCTCTAGTGATTTGTTTTTGGCTTCTTATTATTGAATAGTCTATTCAATTTTCATATCAAAGCTTTTTACTAGATTTGAATAGTAGATTGACTTTAACTCAAGAACTCTTTCAATTCTTGTAAATTTGATTTAATGTTGCTCAACACAAGACAAGCAAACCAATCTGCTTTGTATTGTACTCTTCTCATTTAAGTCTGCCATAACTATGCTGCTTTTATGTATTTTACATTATAAATCGATTATATTTTGTTTTACCAGATTTGATTATGCTAACTTTGGAGGTACGATATTTTAATCCTAACTTAATTTATTTATTTTTTCTTGTAATTTGTTGAAGAATTCTTTTGAGTCTAGTATACTCAGTTAGGTCTAGAGATTCTTTTTTATCTCTGAAAGGTTAGGAGTATCACTTGCAAGTTGTTTACATGATTTACTAAATAATTGAGAGTCAGCCAAAGAGAGTTTCTTTATTGTATGAGAAAACTTCGCCATTTAGGTTTGGAATAACCCCCCGTATTGATCAATAGTCTCTATATATTTGTTAAACGAAGTCTTAAATTGGTTTTCAAACGAAAACAGATCTTATTTTATCTCCTCTAAAATTGACATACTGTTTTAATATTCTAACTCTTTTTCCTCCTGCATTTCGGTTTATTGTCTCTTTAATTCTAATTGCCTGTCCTCTATCAATATCAAATTATTGTCCATTTGGACTATGCAATTTTTGCACAGATTTCTTTAATTTGGATCAGACTAATTTGGCCTCTAGAATATAACTGATTCGTTGTGAATAGGACACTTCTTTCTCTCCATTAGAATAATATTTTTAAATAAATATAAAAATTCCTATAATTTGAAAACATTTCTATTACTCCTTCTTGATGCTTTTAGTTACGATATTGAATTTAAAACCAAATTTTAGCATCAACTGAGAATAGATGAATTTCTTCCCATTTATTTTTTTATTTGAATGAATGAAAATAAATTCAAATTTTTCTCATTCACTCAATTAACTATTCAATTAATACCCCAAATATTGTATGTGAGAGAAACTTAGGTTATCTTATTATAGTATATTATCATTATATACAAATAGAAATATAAATTTTCAATTTATTTGATATATTTTAAATTATTTTGTTTCGTAACTCCAAATCACCAAAAAATTGCCATCATTGGTGATTGTTCCATAATTAAATCTGGAATGAAAATGAATGGGTTCTCCATAAATTCTTAAAGTATTTGTGTTATCTCGCTTTAGAATGTATACACTTTTATTATGCTTTTGAATTAAAATCATTTTTTTGTTATTGAATATAGATGGGAATAGTTGAGTTCCATCTTATTTATTCTATTATTGCAATCTAACTTTTAATTCAGGAGCCTCAATCAATCGTCCATTCTCAATCATAAATATATGTAGAATTCCTTAGTTATCTGATTAGTAAGTAAAAGTCGAATTTGAGATGAAGCAAATTCTGTTTCCACAATCTTTCTAAATTCTATCAATTGTACATTAGTAGGACCAATTGTTAGGAGATTGCTTAGACCAAAGAATAATTTTATTATCTTAAGCGCTTGAGATTAAAAAGGTTGAATCGTTGTTAACACAAATGAATTTGACATTCGATTGGTGCATCTCTAATGATTATTTGAATGATATAGTGTTTTGTTCAATGTTTAGGTTCCATAACTTAATTTTTGAATCATGACTTAATATAAGTTGATCTTCAGCTGGTGTTAAGATCAAGTTTTAAATATCTCGTTTACCTGTGTAAAGTACTTAATTCTGTTGCCATTTATTTAAGCTAACTTGATTCCAACATATAATCTTTTCATCTAATCCCCCAGAGACTAACCAATTCTACCTTTTGCTGAATGTCAAACATTAAACAAAATCAGAATGCCCTTCTAATATTATTCCAGAATCAACCAACTTCTTATCTTAAAAATCCCAAATTTTGATGTTCTCCTCACATCCAGCAGCCATGATTGAATCGGAATAATTAAATGCTATGGCCCAACAAGATTTCTATTGCTTGATTTCTTAAACTTACGTCTGACCATCATTCTATTTTTTATAATTATTAATTTATGTAGAAATTTGGTTGAATATTGTATCAAACTCACTTTATACATCCCAATCCTTTATTATCGTTTATAATGTCAAGGTTATATTGCTGATTTTTGATGAATAAGAGCGATTCAATTATTAAATCTTATTAGAATCGCTTAGAAACTATTCTTTTAAAATAAAATTCGGAGATTTATTAAGAGTGTCCAGTTCTTTGATTAAATCGCAATTATTATATTATTCTACCAAACTATCCAATTCACCTTGGAATTAATCAAATTTTGAATTTAAGGAGGAAATTAATTCATAAACTTTAGATTAGAGAGATTGAGTTTTTTCTTTCATTTTTGCTAGCATCTAATTCATCAAACTAACTAAACTCAAGATCTATTATTATGATTAGCTCTTTAAGTCCTCCACCCTCTCCCTTGCTTCTGAAATTGACATTGCAAAACAAAGCCCTCTCGAATTCACAATGCATTCATGGCACATCAGTCTTTCATTTCCATGGCATCCCTCTTCAACCTTAATTTGAATGATTTGATTTCCTGAATGTTGAGCGCAAAATGAATTAGAAATACCAACATTAATTTTGGATTAGATCATAATTAATATTTCTATAAATGTAGAAAAATATTCTAATCTATTACGCATTTATGTAAAATAGATTTAAACTTAAATCATATTCAAATTATCAAAAATGCTGTTATCAACATAGATATGATCATGGCTATCTTCGTTTCACCTGGATTTTAAGGTGTGGCTCCCTAAAAACAGGCTTCACAATGATTAGTATTGGAATTCCAAGTGTGTGTTTAGACTGATTTGATAAAACATGCTTTAGATTCTGAAATGGTCTTAGGGTCGCTGGTAGAGCAGTTTCCATTTTGTAACAAGCATATCGTATATTTAGTACCATCAAAGCTTGGCACTGGATTACAGTTTAAGCCATTTGAAAAAGTTTGGCAAGTTTAATCAACACATGTATTTTAATTCCAATAACAAGATGGATTGGTATTGCATGTATGCTCATCCTATTCTGCATCTGCACATGAAGAGAATGTTTTACAAGAACCAATTTGAGAGTTTTTTTCATTGGGTTTGAATGCACAAATGGTTTATTAGTCACTTTCAATACCTCCTCCTTAACAAGCTGTAAGAGTATTGTAAGTACTGCACTTTGCTTTTGGAATACAATTGGTACCATTTGAAACACATTATTTACCAGGTATGAATGTCAAGCAGTTTTGATTACTTTGTTCATGATAAATATCCTGACATTCTTTGACTCTACAAGATTACACTGTACTATTTCCTTTAATTGGGAGACCAAAAATGCATAGACCATCAGTTCCTTAGTAACAAGAAGATTATCTATAGGAGGAGCAAGTTGATTATTATATGCAAGTAGTTCCATTGGTAGTGCATGAATTATTTGCTTTGTAACATTCAAGATGGCTTTAATATTGATAATCTTCACAAGTTTTTACTTTGCAATTTGTATCTGTTTAATCCCAAGTACAAGGGCCTTCCTTTGAAACATTCAAACATGCATTGGCTGTTTTATACATGGAACATTGTTAAACTACTTCAACGCATTGATACCCGTCAGACACACACTCTTAATGATATAATCTACAAATATTATTATCACTAGATTTTAAATCTGAGCAGGCTTTGAAGGATTAGCATTTTTCATTCCATCCGCATTATTTGTCTAATCCGTAGACACAGGAATCAAGTTTCTCATATTGAGCACAAAAAGTAATTGGTATACAATTTGATCCATTAGTTGTACAATATTTCGATATGTTTTGGCATTCTTAAAAGGTTTTGAGTTTGGCATCTTCACATTTAGAATAATTAATGCATGCATTCTAAACCCACAAACAAGGTCCCCTTTTGGAGTGAATACAGGAAATTTAGCTAATATATTCATCACATGAATCTCCAGAGATACAATTAATACCATTTGATAGACATCCATTCAATTATGACTCACACTCAGCAACAGTTTTACCTTAAAAATCAATACATTTGATGTCTCTACAACCATTTTCTTTGCGATCCCAAATGCATTTTCGTTCTCCATAAGCATAAAGACAGATCTAAACTACTTTATAGGTAGAACACCAGCCAAAGGTAATACAGCCCATCCCACTGGTTGTGCATTTCGGATTTAATTAATGACATACACTATGAGATGAAATATCATGAGGTAAATCCTCACAATTTTAAGAACGACATTGAGCAGGGTTATCAGTGAATGCACAAATTTCATTTTTTACTTTTGAATTGAAACAACTAGTTTAGCTAACCTCTTTGATTTAATCACAGCTTTCAAATTATTAATTACAAAAATGAGTCCATGAACATGATGCATTACCCTCACAAGCACTTTAAGTAATTATATTATCGCATTGTTTAATAGATGTACATCCATACCCAGTAGTGTAACATGATGGATGATATTTCTAACATTCTATATCAGTTTTCAATGTGTTAGGTGCATCATTACAGACCCGTGTTGTGCAACTACTAGTTTTGAAATCATCCATGACTGTTGCTTTACATGGTCCATCAATGGCAATAGCGTTGGCACAACTAATATGATTACCCTAGAATTAAGTGCATTGCAATCCATATTTAACACACTTTGATCCATCAAATATACAAGTGATTGAATCAAATCTCTAATTACATGATTAGTTATCTACACCATTAATATCACTGCATTCCAATTTCCTACAGGATGTATTCACTCCACTACTAAAGCAAAGATCCTTGCCATAATTTCCTTTAAACTTTAAGCAAGCATCGTAATTTCCTTGATATTGTGCACATGAAGCTGATTCTTCAATACATCCTGCTCCTTTTGTTCGGCATCCTTTTAGAAAATATGAACACTCTTCATCTGAAGTTGCAGTAGTGTTATCTGAACAAATTTTCACTTTACATTTGCTAGTTGATTGATTTGTTACATACCCAGAACAATACACATATTCCTTATCTTTCAACTATTTGAATTATTCACATTATATTTTAGTACCTCTATATGAAGTACAAGGTTCAGTATTTGGAATACATCCAAGTCCTCTGGTTACACACCCATGCATGAACTCATTGCATTCAGTGTCTGATTAGGCACTTATATTATCATAACAAATTCGATTTTCACATCTTCCACTAGTTTAACTTGGTTCATTAGATATACATTTGTCAACTCCATTCGGGTCCAAGTAATTTCCACATAATTGCTTAGTTGTTCTTATCTAATTACAATCCTGACTCATATCAATACATTTGGTTCCATCAGTTTTACAAGTAGATAGGTACTATTGACAATAGAAATCTGTGTAATATTAAACATCACTGCAACTTCTATTTGAACATCCAGTCCCATTCCATTTACAATACACTCCACTTACATTTTGTACTTTTTCACACCATAGCTACTATTGCTCAGGATTATCTCCTATTGGCTAATACTAGGAGCATTGTTGTTTTTTAAAGCATTTTTAGTTGTAATAATAACATCCCTTACTATCATTTAAACAATCATTTATTCCTAAAATATCTTCACATACTTATGGTTTGCATTTTCTGATTTGGGTTCCATCTTTACTACAACGAATATTGTTTAATGATTTAACTAATAAGCATTGTGCATCTTCTTGACCTTATTATGGGCCCTTTTGGTTATCTGCATTACCATCATATCCTGAACAACTTTTTTACGTCACACAATTATTGCCCCAAAGGTAAGTGCAACTTTATAGGGATTCATCTTACAATTGATTGCAAATTTCCAATTTATTTACCACATTTTCAACATTATATGATTCACAAGTATTTACCTTGACACAATAATCACCTCCCATATATGTGCATGGAAAATTTTAATTTCTAACTTAACTACAAAAGTATTTAGGGTTTTCCTTTGAAACAAGTATTTGACTACAAGTATTCTAGTAATTATAACAAGTTCCTAACAAATAATAGCATGTGGTTTGGTTTACCATAGTGTTACAATCTAATTGAGATTATGGATTCACTGCGTCTGAGCATTTGGAATCCCTACAATAATTTTCAGTTCCATTATATTTGCATTAAAATCCTTTGAGATTCTTCTTAACTTAACAAAAATAATATTTATCAGCAATTCCCTTGGGAACTATGTAATTAAAACAAGACTTTTGAATAGATACACATCTATTTTAAGTGTCACTGAATTAATCATAAGTGCATTTGACGCTTCTATTCTTATTTTTGAACAATTCACAATAACTAATCTTTTCACTGATGGATGACCCAATTAGCTCCTGGGAAAATGGAACCTTCGAAACATTACTACAGTCATCTTGAGTAGTTATGCTACCAACTGCTATACATTTTCCAAGTAAAAATATACAACCTTTGATATGATTATCACAATCACCTTGAGAGTGAGGTGATGGAATGTGTTCACAAGTTCCTGCTTTGCAATTGGTTCCATTATCACTAATGCATTGAGTAGTTCTTGTTTTATCAGTATGAACTAAGCAAAATGTATCGACATTCGTAGGTTGTTTATCCCAAAATTCTGGAATGGGATCAACTTAAACACATAAATTATATGAACTTTCTACACATCCAGTCTTGGCTTAATTGAGAACGCAGTAGTTTTAACCATCTGAAGTTGAAATTAACATACTGTTACAAAAGAGGGATTTCAAAGAGTCAGAAGTTAACTCAATTGTGAAGAGTACATCATTACATGAAGAAACCGCATTGTAGCATCTTTTATTGTAATAGCCACATTTGTAACCGTATGCCTCACAGTCTTTGTGAGAAGTTGGATTGTAAATATCTGAACATTAAAGGATATCTTAACAGGTTAATCCATCTGTATATGTACAGGGTATATAGGGACCATCTGACTTATTTGATAAATCCACGACTTTCAAACTCCTACAGAAATCCAATTTTTGATTATAGGTTAAAAGAGTAGGGATTGTGTAACTAGAGCAAACATAAGCAGTAGTATAGCAACGAGAGTTCTTAGTTTTTTAGCATTGGCCTCCTTTCCATCCCAAGGTGTCATTGCATTATTTTGTATCTGTCGCACTGATTATAGTTTCACAGGAATCTTAATAACTGCATTGGGAAAAATAAACAGTGTTGTAAGCGCATTATATTCCTTTAGTGTTTTTGAGTGATACACAGAACTTCCACTTCTCTTCAAAGGTTAGTAGATCAAATGGAACCATATAATAAAAGCACTCCGTCAGAGATGCCAAACAAGATGAACCAGCCAACATACAAAATCCACTTCCGGTGGTTTTCCCTTCCTGAATGAATGAGGAACACCCAGAAATTTACCCATTTACAATTTGTTAGCAAGTCCTTATGGAGCAGAATTATCCTATGTCCCAGCCACAATACAATCCCATTCGATCTTTAATATTAGCACAATACTAGAATCTTTTTTAATCTGTGTTAGCAGTATTGGGGATTTGATAGCCAGTACAATCATTAGCCATTATACAAGGAGTGCCTTTTAGATAAAATCTACAGGTGGATTTATAGTTTGTACATTCCTCAGGAGTGTTAGGACTCGCTATGTCTGAACATTGTCTTTATTAACAATTTACTTTTCTGGTACATTACGTCTAAGACCATTAATTATTTATTTGAATTCCCCCATAATAGAGTTAACAAGTTCCATCAGTCCCAGATTAGTCAGAACATGTTACAGTAGTTTAATCCACACATCCTGTATTCTTTAATAAGCAGTCTTAACGAAATAGATTACAATCTGAGTTCTTCTATGCTATAGATTTATGATAACATTCTCTCTTCACACACTATCCTTTGGTTGAAGTGCCGAAACAATATTTTTTTGAATTTTGCCCAACTATGGCTTGTTCGCAAAATAGATCATTTCCATAATAAGATTCACAAGTAGCCTAATTAGGATCTACACACCCTTCTTTGCCATCATAAAGACAACCATTTAAAAACTCTAAGCATTGCTAATCATTTTCCATTTATTCTGCCACAGAACAAGATTTTACCATACAAAAAGATAGCATATTTGCATGTTTTATATTGTAACATTGGATAGTAGTGAAATTCTACTGTGATCCATTTAAGTACCCAAAGAATTGAATACACTTGCTTTAATCGCCTTACATTTGAGAACAACTAGTTCCATATTTAACACATCCTCTTCCATTAGTAACACACCCTGGAAAGTAATCGTTGCATTCTTGATTAGTTGTCAACTCAACATTATCTTAACATTGTCTAGTAATGCAAGGGGAGTTATCATCTGCACTTTCAACATTAGTACAATACCCTAGATATCCAAAACAGGTCTGTTTATTCCCATAGAGTTTGGAACAGTCATATTTATTAATGCATGAGTTTTTCATATCACTAATACAAATTGACATTTCATTTTTACAATTTATATCGTCTTTATATTACGATCCTATTAATTCATCACAAGTTAACTCTCTACATCCATTTGCTGTCCAAGTGCATTTTACTGACTCTAGTATTCCATTTAATACTTTCTTAGCCTTTGTATATCTACAAGTAACCTCACTCTTAAACTTAGAACAATCAGAACCATCAATACAACCTGACTACCAAAAACACCCTTCAGTGCCTTCACAACTTGTTTAACTAATGGTCTTTTGACATTGTGTCTTCATTATACATCCATCCCCATTACTCACACAACTTTACTTCCACTCATTACACTTCTAATTAGCAGGAGCTTATTGACAATCTCTTGCTGTACAGAAATTTCCACTTACCCACATACAATTCCCATCAGAACCTACAAACTTCAAGCATTTCTCAGAGTCTCCTTCATAGTTTGCACATGATTTCCTGTCTATCTTGTTAACACATCCAAATCCAGTTGTTACACAATTTATCTAATAGTCATTGCACTCCTCGTCTGTACTATAATTAATAGGTGCTTCATTGCAAACTCTGACCATGCATTGCTGGCGATTCTCCTTATCCTTCTCATCACCTTTGCACTTACCATCTCTACCCTTATAAGAAAGACATAATTTAATATTTCCTTTATAATTACTACAAAGGTCTAAATTCTAAACGCATCCCACTCCATTAGTTATACATTTAGGCTAATATACTCTACACTGTTCATCAGTGCTATAATTTGGAGAGTCCTCACACCTTCTCGCTCTGCAATTAGTTCCATCTTGAGTCCCTTCACATTGTCCATCTGATCCAATATATCTTTGGCAACTTGAATTATCTCCGAAATAGGCTGAACACAAAGGCTTAACAGTCCCAAATATGCATCCCTTTCCATTTGTAATGCAACCCTTCTAATATCTCGAACAATCAGAATCCGTATCATATTCAAATGGAGCGTTTAAGCATTGTTTAGCTGAACACATTTCGTCTTAGCCTTATTCACAATACCCATCAGAACCAATGTATTAATCACATTTCTTTTCATTACCTCTATAACTTGTACACGGAGGCAACGGGGATTCCCAACAACCAATTCCTCTTGTTATGCATCCTTTTAGCCATTAATTGCATTGCTCATCTGTTATTAATTTCTCATCGCTGTCAGAACATTTATAATCTCTACAAATATTTTCTATACTATCCCATTTACACATTCTTCTACCGAATAAACTTAGTGAAACATTACATATGTCTACAGGATAATCCTTGCATTCTTTAAAGTTAATGCAAGAATTTCCGTCACTTATACATCGATATGAGACTGCTTAGCAATCATCTGTCCTTTAATACCTATATGCTGAACAACCAGCAAAGATTACACATTTCTTATCAATGTAAGCACAACCATCTGTTAAGTGACAGTTTGTTTCTTATTATGTTATCGATTCACAATAGGACTTATATGTAACATCAGGATTCTCCTAAGTCAGTTTCTTTTAGCACTTTCCTCCTATTGTGGTTGAATCCTTAATCCACTCACAATCTTATTGATCCTGTTTCCCAATCTCACAATCGATCTACGATTTTAATTGGTTGCATTGATTGCATTTATCACTTCGATTGACTTAATAACATGAAGCTATCACTAATAAGCAAAAGAATGCACAAGATTTCATAAAATTTAATTTTTATTTTTTATTTAATAGAAGCAAAAATAGGCTCTATCAACCAAGTTTATCTGGATTTTCAAATTTAATATTAATTTTAAAACTTGTCTCAAATAATTTCATTATATACCCACTTTTAAGAGTCCCATTAAATTAACGTTAATAGAATATAAAAGTTCAAAATTAATATCAATACTCATTTAGTAATTATCTCCAAATTAAGTTTATGTTTTGAAAATCCCGTAGACGTAGCTCAATAATTGCTTTCTTTAATAATTTCTACTCTCTTAAGGCTTGAACTTAAATTTAATTTTTATATAAACCTAACTACGACTAAAATTCTTCTTAATATCCACTATAACTATTATTGACACCTTATTTCCAACACTCAATAACTTATTCGTATTTATTTTATTTTTATAAAGCGTTTACTTAACTATTTAAATACTAATACTTTTTAATTGGTAAAACATAATGTTACCCTAATTATTTTCAATTCCTAAATCCAAAACTTGCATTATCTCTTTCTCTTTCATTTCTCTGTTGCTTTCCAATAAGTATTTTTCTAAATCTCATACATATTTCATACGTATCTATTTGTAATAAATCTCTTGATTTGTGTTATTGTTTATTCCACTCATCCAACATTCAAGAACTTCATCTGATCTTCCTAATTAATCTAAAATCTTAGCTAATAAATGTAATCAAATAACCCTACCTTTCTTTCTGTAAAAATAATCGTCATAAATATTATTTTAAATCCCTTAATCCCACAACAATATTAATTCATTTATTCTTCCCAATTTATTTAAAATAATTGCTAACAATATATTCTTGACTACCTTTTTATTTATAATAAAACTTCCTTTGAATATTATTTTAAATTCCTTCATCCCAACACTTTAAGGCAGACTCAAAGTCTTCTGCCTTTTCTAAAGTATATGCTTTAATAATCAACAAGAATTCATACCTTTTTGTTAATAAAAATATTAATTTTTCTTATTGTTCTCTATCCCTTTATTCCAGCAATCAACTATTTACTAATATTAGCCTTATATTTCTAACAGATTCACTAAACAAATAATTTCTCCTTTTACCTTCCTCTTAATAAAATAATTCTGAATTTGTATTAAATTTTATCCCTTAATCCCATAAATCAATAGCCTCTTGTATTCGATCTAGCTTTTGTAGTAAGTATGCTATTCAATTTTAGAATGTTTAAATGCTACCACATCTTTAATAAAATTTGTAATTATTTTTATTATTATTTATAGCTTGATACCAGCAATTGATCATCTCGTCAAATTTTCCAACTCTTTCTAAGAAAGACACTAAAATAATTGAATCATTCTCATACATAATGATTCATAGTAATTGCTACAGCCTTTATTATTCAAGATGGCTTAATTCCAACAATCTATGATCTCGTCGGTTTTACCTTACTTCTCTAACGCCATAGCTAAAAATTTTATTCTAAAATACCTTTTTAAGTATAGAAGTTTTCATTCTAAGTATTGGATTAGATTCCAATGTCCCAACATTCAATCACTTCCTTAAATCTCCCAAAACTCTCTAAAACCTAAGCTAAAAATACTTGTATTATTATTTACTTTTTTGTACATAGAACGATAAATCTTTTATATTGTTCTTTATTCCAAACTCCCAACAATCTAATGATTCTTCAATTCTGTCCTATTTTGTTAGTGCATTGGCTATAAAAATAATAGAAAGTTGAACATTTTTAAATATAAAAGTCGATGTTTTTTTTATTATTTTCAATTCCTTGTTGCCAACATTCAATAACTTCTTAGAGTCTATTAAACTTATTTAATGCTTATGCTGAAATAATCATAATAAATATCTACCCTTTTTATCATAAAAATAGAAAGCATTCTTATTATAATTAATTGCTTAATCCCAGCATTATATTACTTAATCTTATCTTCCCAGTCTTTCTAGAATATTTGCTAATAAAATAACTCCAAATAATTTTGTACATTTCTTCTCATAATTAGATTTGTTCTTTCTGTTCATATGAATAGCGATATTCCAACAACTTATTGCCTCTTCGAATTTATCTAGTTTCTCTAATGCAAAGGCTAATAATTAATATATATAGATACAACATTGTTACTCAATTAAATATAATATTATATTGGCATATTCATTTTTTTTACAGTAATAATAAACAGTTCCTTGATACCTCACAGAATTGGGTAATGCTTAATCTACAAATTTTAAGGTTGCTTACTAAATTATTTTTCGTTGTTTTTCAATGCTACTTCACAGTAAGATAACATTTCTTGGAACTTCATCTAGTCTTTTAAAGCCTAAACTGAATTATAAGTCTTGAATAATAACTTTCCTCTTCCATTTGAGCAACATTTAGTTGAGATTTAGAATTCATTAATATAAGGTTTAATTTATTAACTAATCATTTGGTTAGTATTTTATAAAAGCAATAAAGCAATAAAGTAATAATGAATAAATAAGATAACCATTGGATTACAGTTATCATAAAAAACAAAAAATTATATAATAGATTGGTATAGTAAATAATTTTGTCAATATTTGATGTCCTTAATTGATTTAATTTATTTAGTATTGTATTTTCCTACTAGATTCGAAACAAGAATAATAGTTTTTTCACTTCCATTATTGTTGTGTTCTAAAAGTATTTCTTCAAAATTATCACAATTTGTTATTTTTTAAATCTCTGAATCTTCTAGATAACTTTGAGTAGGAGTGCAAAGCGACTACTGTTAATCTAATTTGAATTAAATAATTGAATTATTGGATGCTTAGATCATGTGCTTAAATACTTCTCTAATGTATGAATAATCTGGTATTTGATTATAGTGTAATTAATTTATGTAGGACATAAAAACGGAGAAATGATTAAAGGATTTGCATTGCAAAATGAGGGTTTTAAAAAAGGTTAACTTTGATTGTTTAATGAGTTCAAAATCCTAAACAGAAAAAGTGTAATATTATTAATGAGACCAAGGCAAAGTCACTATATTATAAAACAAATAAATTACAGTCTTTTAAATAAAATAATACATATAATAAACTTTCTAGATCGTCTTTATACCCAAGAGGTGAACCATCATGGGAAGATCTGCTTGCGAAGTTTAACGATCCGATAAACACATCTTACAAACCTTCTGAGTTCTCTTCGTATAATTGCGATAAACCAAAATCGATCAATTGGATGAATCCATCTTTTTCGATATCGGATTCCTTCTCAAATGCTTAAGATATCATTATATTTTCTGGTTTTATGTCAAGATGTAGAATGTTTTTTTTGTGTACTTGCTCCAATATTTCTATAACTCTTAACCCTATTCTCATAATGGCGCTTTAAGAAACTTTTCTACCCTTTACTAACTCTAACAAATTGCTATGTAATAGTGGAAGAACAAAATAACACCTTAATTTGATTATTAACCATAAATTACTTATTTTCTTATGCTACTCCAATTTATTTTATTTTCGGAATTCCTTCAATTCCTTTTAATTTCTAAAGGACTTTGATTTCGTTCTCTAATTGGCCTAATTGAGGATTTTTTTCTATTTTTATGGCAAATGATTTAGAGCTCGATTTTTCCTTGGCCAAATATACCTGATGTTAGGATCCGCATCCAATTTTCGATAGGACGGTGTAGTCTGGGAATTGTATCTACATAAATATACCAAAATTTATAATGGAAAGTTTTAGGAAATAATAATTGGCTATTAAAAAGTGAAATAAAAAGGGGGTGGAATATGTAGTTTTATTTATTTTATTATTAATCTAATACTTAATGCATTATTAAAAACATCCAGTGAGTATGGTTACCTATAAATTATAGGTCTTGTAATTTTTCTAATCTCCTTAAATTATTTTGCTTACTTTTTATTTTAAGAATATAATATTAAACTTAGTAATGTAAACCAATATAAAAGTACACAATTATAAAAAATGAAAAATTAGAAAAATTCTAAATTAAATTAGACCATCGTTATTTAGAACTCTTCGCTTTATTTGCAAAGTAAACATTATATAAATAGACATTTTAATTTTCATTTTTTAGTTAAAATAATAATAATTATTAATTCAAAACCATATATTTATCTCAAAAATGAGTTAATTTTTTGAGTATTAAACGTTATATATATTTTAAATTAATTCGATTTTATAATGAAATAGAAAGGAAAAAAAGGGAGAGAGGACTTGTTGGAGTAACTAAAATCTAATCTAAACATTATGGGTCATAAGATGAGTATTTTAATATAAGGTGCAGACGGATAAATATATTTGAAGGAACATTTATCATCCAAAGGACATCAACCTTATGATGATCAAACCACAATTCATATCGCTTCTGGATGCAAATGGATTGCCATGACTGTAATAATGAAGCTAGTTGAATTAGGATTATTAAGTCTTGATACTAAGGTGATCGATATATACCCAGAATTTAAGAGTTCAAATCCTAATTTATTGTTAAAGCATTTGATGACTCACACTTCAGGGTATGTTTTAGCAGATGAATGGATATTTGATTTGGATATCTCTTTATAGGAATCTGTTATTGGAATAGCAAAAGGAGGAAAGTACCCAGCGAGTAAGGTTAGTTTTCAGGGAGGTACTAAAGTTGGCTATAGTGATATTGGAATGTAAATAGCAGGGGGAATGGCAGAAAAAGTGACAGGAAAATCATTCCATCAATTATTTAATGAGTTCTTAGCTTAACCTCTAGGAATGTAGAATGCTCAGTTTACAGCTTTTGATGGAGAGAAAGGTTAAAATATTGCAATTGCTGATGGTTTTTTAGTGAGGATGATTGACTATGGTAATTTTCTACGAATGCTTCTCAATCATGGTTCTTTTAATGGCATACAAATTCTAAAGGCATCAACTGTTGAATAAATGCTCTAAGATTACACTGATGACTTGCCTGTATCAGTAAAGGTCATGAAAGAAGTAGTAGGAGAGGTATCGGATTCTTATGGTTTTGGAATTGGCTCTTGGGTTTATGATACCAATGATAAGGACGAACCAGTGATCTTTTCGAGTTCTGGCGTGCATGGATTTGAAAATTGGATTGATATTGAGAATGGATATTTGTGTATATTCTTCCTAAGAGCAGATGTTGAAAAAGAACCATAAATTTCAGATCTTAGTGAATCCATGAGACCTGAAATTTTGGAATTCTACTTGAAAGAGAGCAAATAAAAAAATAATTGATAAATGATATCATTATATAATTGTAGGTGTTCTTTATTATTATTTGTGTATTTTCTAATTTAATATAATTTTTTAGTTCTATTTTATATTTCAGAGCAGCTAAACAAATGACAGAATTAGAAATTGGAACCAGAATACTACTGAGTTCTCTTTTAATTATGTTTGATAACTAATCCCTTAAAGATTTAAATAGATAAGGTCATTTACAAAAGTATATATAATTTAAAAATAATATGAATTTAAAACTTCTTGTTAAAACTACACATATGTTCGAGCATCTAAATATATGATAATCTTCTCACATTTTGGCTTATAATTTTTGTATCCTTATATATATAGTTATAGAATTTATATTTAGGTTTTATTTATTTTAAAAACCTAAATAATGAATTCAATAACTATATTTTGAAATAGCTAGGTCAACTGATATACAAGACTTCCCAATTAGTATATTGATAATTAATTCCTAATCATTAGTAAAAAAAAATGGTAAGAAATATCTTCAAATTTGTATTATATATTTCGAAATATTTAAAGATTCTCTAAAATTAATATTATAAATTATTAAACTAAAAATCAAAATGTTTGATTTTAATTTATTTGTTTATTAGGTTTTTATATTATTGATTTGCGTGAATAGCTAGTGTACAGGAATAACAAATCAACAAGAATGCAATACAAATGAGAAATGTGAATGGAATTATTGGAAACCCTCTTTATGTCAGACCATGTGCAGTTCATTAACTAATTAATAAAGTTGTAATGAAGCAGGAGATTGTAAATGGCTTGCAGATTCATCTTCTTGCTTTATTAAAAAGTGCTAAGAAGAAAACTCCGAGGCCACCTGCCATCTAATTGTAATTTGACTAATTAATTAAGGTTGCTTGCTATTGGTACAATGGGCAATGTTGGGATTCATCATGCATTTAATTATAAGCTGAAGAAAGGGGAAAGTGCCCAGTGGCTTATTGCATATGGTAGGAAAAAAGAAAGCTGTGCTATGATAAGAAATGCTCAGATTACACTAACGAATATGATTGCTAATAAATGTCATTTTGCTCTTGGTTTAAATACAAATGTATAGATAATGGTTAGAAGAAACTTGATTTTTGATAAAACTTTATAAAACCTTAAATTATGTCTTAGTATTATAGCGAAAGAAGAAATAAATGGCTCTAATTTTAGTTATATATGATTAAATCTTTGAAATATCTTTCAAACAATTATTTTTCTTGTAATTAAGATTATAAGTTATTTACATTACAATTATTTAGAAATAATAATAAAAAACTAAATATGAACTTTAAAACTAATCTTATTTCACATTTTTCAAAACACCTCTCATTTAAATAGAATTGAATTGCTTTAACAATAAATCAAATGTTGAATTTATTATTTTGGTATTTTTCAATGATCCGATTACTTCAATTATAATTTATGCATTTAATATAAATAAATATTCCATACAGATTTTTAGATGAAAGATATATATGGTTTTATTAACTTATTAATAGAAAATTGTTAAAATAATTAATATAAATGACAAAAATCACTTAAACTCCTTGATTATTTGTATTTGCAACATAAAATTGTCATCACAATCCTTGGAGTCATTATTGAGTTGTTATTTGCATTAGATACAAAATTATCTTGCTTAAGATTTATGAGAATCTCAAATAATTAATAAATTAAAAGTAACAGAATTGAGCCAGTTTTAATTGACTGAATTGAAGTAGTAAGAATTAGTTTAATAAGGCAAGTAAATCAAAATTGAATTACAATAAAATCAGAATTTATTGAAAACTCTTTACACCTAAAACTAGTATTTGTAGATTAGTATTTCTTATTATATATAGAGGTAAAATACTTAATTATGTAATTCATTCCATAATAAACGACAAATATAATAAATTTAAACTATCGTTTTAATGTTGACTTTTTCAATAGTAAAATCATTATTACTACAAGTATCATTTAGTAGAATCAAATCATTTTAATTCTTTGATGCTTTCGGGTATATTAAATTATTAAAAGGTGAATATTTAGGAGGGATGTGAAGATTAGGGTAGGAAATTTCAATTAAATAATTTTGAAAAAGCTCTAAATTACTTTAATAAAGCTATTGATATAAACCCAAATGTCTCTTGTAATTCCTATCTCAAAAGTTTAATAAATAAATAATTATAGATAATTTGGATATTTAAATTACAAAAATATTTCGGAAGCCTTGATAGGATAGAGAAAGGTCTTCAATTAAAATCTAATATAACCTATATTTAAATATTAAGAGTAGGAATATTTTAATTAATTAGATGTAATCCTAATGGCCCTAATATTTGACTTTTACTTATTAAAACTAAACAGAATCCCAGAGGTAAGATATTAAACCAATAAAATAAATGAATTAACAATCACCATATTAAATTGATTATATCTATAATATGAAGTTATATTGAACTAAACTTTAGCTAATATCATTTATTCTTTCTTTTTCAAGTTATATTTTGCGTTAAGCAAGTTTGTATCTTTAAAATTAATTTAATTTTGAATTGAGAAAATAATATGATAAAGTAATATGATAATATATACAATTAAAATATCAACATAATTCAGTAATTATATCCTTTGAATTGTAATAATGTTTCTAACACTACTTTCAATTCAATTGGATTAACAGGTTTTGGAAGAAATGTATTGATTCCCAATTTAGAACCTTTAATATAATTTTCTTAAGTATCATAAGCAGAGCAAATAACTATTGTAGATTAGTTTTATGTCAGTTTTAGAATCTAGATAAATTGAATAAGTTTACTTGTTTGCTTGCTTAAAATCCATCCATCCCAGGCATTTCAATATCCATAAAAATTACTTGGTATGTTTAACAATGCTGCTGTAATTTTTGTTTAACTTTTTCGATTGCTTGAAATCCATCAAAAACTGAATCAGCTTCAAGATTATAATGCTTAAGCATCATTTTTAAAGCAATTTAATTAAATGGTATATCATCTACAACTAAAACGTGAGAGCACTTTTAGCAAATTAATTTTTATTTTTAAACATTAGGTTATTCTTAATCCAATTCTTAAAAATCTTTACAAGACGAAATAAATTTATGAGGAAAATATTCATGACTAACAGGCAAGAGGATTTCTTTTTGGATTTCAAAATCATTCAATCCGGAAGTAGCTTTATAAGTTTCTGAATTTTATTCTAAATTATCTTGATCATCTTAAATTTAAGAAAAAGTGTTATTTATTTTATTCTACATTTTATCGTTATTCTTTATTTTATTGAATGTATAAAATATTTCGGATTAATTAAACCTTCCTGTTTATTGAGTAAATAAGTTCGAGGACTATTGATACGAATTTTATATAATTTGTAAATTTTCAACTTGAAACGAAACTGAAGTTCCTTAATGTTTTAAAGAATTAATAACTAATTTATTATCTTGGGCCTAAGTTAAACCTTGCACAAGTTTTGCTACAATGCTCAATCCTAAGCCTTTTTTCTTAATTTCAGCATTTTATTTTAAAATAGCACCAAATTCGCTGGTATCATATAAACTACTTCGAATTAAATTCAATTGGTCTTCAGCAATACCTATCCCATTATCTTTAACTTCAATATTTATGCAAAAATATTCTTTTTCTGTAATGTTTAAATGAATGCAACCTCCTTCTTTCGTAAATTTAATTGAGTTATTTAATAAATTAATTAATATCTATAATATTCTCTACTTGTCATTACGCATCATTATATCTTTTAAACTCTTTGAAATTAGAATCTTAAATTTAATTTTTTTTAATTTCATTTAACATTTATACAATTCTTCTATTTCGTTTATAATCAAATTAAATGGGAATTATGTAATGTGATATGAAAATTGATATGATTATATGGCAGCATAATCTAAAATGTCGTTGATTTGATGAATCAATAATTGTATCGAATTCTAAGCTATTCCAAGACAAGTCTTAAAATCTTCTTCGCTCTAAAATTGCTAGATTAGATTTAACATGTTCTAACAACTATTCAAAGGAGTTCTCAATTCATGAGAAAATGATTTGATAAGACTATGATGAATAATTTACTCATCTCTTATCTATTAGAATTTATGTTTATGAGTAATATTTTTAATTATTATGAGAAGTACAGGATTATCAAAGTCAGTTGTTGGTTGAAAAACAACTTTACTGCTACTTTGAATTTATGATTGAGATTAAAAGTATTCTTATTATTGAACTGTCATCGAAGTTGGGATAATTATTAATTTCAAGCTTTTTTTAAGAATTAGAAATATTAAATCCTGGTTTGATAAACCATTCATAAATAAACACCTACGACATAAAACTTAAATAATTGTCTCCGTAGCTTGAGCCTAGAACGTTCGAATATTTTTATGGCTATATCATAATATCCAATACATCAACTGCAATGTTTCTATTTGATAAAATACTTATTATTTATTTTAAAATATGATAATGTATTTATTTTTGGTGTTGCTTTGCTTGAAAACTACTCAAATCATCTATTTAATAATGTTGCATTTTCGCATTATTCACACAAGTCTTTATTTTTTCTAATACTTTTTCTGCTCCTTAACACTCTAACAGTTTTTCACATTTATTGTTCATATAACTAACTTATTAGGAGGAATTTAAAATCAAAATTCCTTAAGGAAAAATGTTAAGCAAGTTTTAATAAAATGAACACATGGACTAGTCTGATTTTTCGAAACTTTTATTTAACTTCTGACAATTAGTCAAGTTAGAATATTGAATCAATTTTATCTCACTAGGAAGATCTCGTAAAAATATACTCATGTTGTGTTAAGGGGTAAGGTTGAGTGATACCTTACTTTACGATTGTATTTAAGGAAATATCTATTCATTTTACGGCAGAGGAGTAGCTTCTCTTTCCTCTTTAATTGCCAATTGATATTTAGGAAGTTTTTCTTAAAAATTATTCTTAAATGAATTATAAAGCTCAGTCGTGTATTTTATGAATAATAAACCTAATATTATCAAGCTTTCCAGCTGATAGATTTTAAAATCAATAATTACTGTACATAGCACTCTAATGATTAGATAAAATGCAATCCCCAATCTGCAAATCAAACTTTATTTACACATTGCTATTTTCAAGTACTCAATATAAGTAAAAATGATCAATAAGCAATTAGAGAGCGATTATAAATTGTGATTCATTTCCATATGTAAAAAGGATTCAAAATATATTACATAATATAACAAGGATACTATATGAATAACAAAATTAAGCCCATATTCTTTTGAAATTAAAATTTGCTACGAGCACCTCAAAAAAACACAAGACAATTGCAGTATTAATACTAAATAATTGATTGGCTATTTTAACCATATAGTGTTAGAAGCCCACCATATGCCTTAGACGAAATTTGCAATAAAAATCGAGTTAAGCCATAACATTTCCAAGAATTTTCTAACATTAATTTACGGGTTCATATTGCTGTATTAAATTAAATTAAATAATATGCATAAAACACAAGTACATTACATTCTAATTCTTAAATAATTCAAAACCATGTACTATTTTTGACATTTTTCTTTCATTCTCCAATTTCTTAGCAGATTTTCAACTATAAAAATTTTATTCAGGAAAAAACAAAATTAGAGTCGAAAATAGAAACTACGATAGTGTCAATACTTATCAAATCTTTAGAAGCAAAAACCATCTAAATTAGAAAATCTTGTTTAAAGTATCAATATTCTGTTGATTTCTTTTCTAGAAATGCCTTTCCGACAAAGATGAAATATATAATTACATATGTAAATTAATTTAAATACTAGGTATATAAATTTAAAAATAAAATGTCAATATTTTTATAATTGTATTGACTTTTCTATGTTTGCTAATCATCATCTAATTATGAAAATCAATTAATCTCTCCAATGAAATTCTCCTTAAGATATATTTAAGCCATAATATTATTTCATATTATAAAAAATAAAAAAGATGATTTTAAAGACTACTCAAATAACGCTAACATGATTTCTAATTATAAAATGAAGGAAAATTATAGCTAATACTAAAAAAGTCGTGAAAATATTTTACAAGAACCTATTTATAAAAACGAGAATCAATCGAGGAACAATAATATTTTATAAAGAATTAGATTTATTTTGACCATCTATATGATAGTTAAAGTAACTTTATCTTTCATTTCATAATTCATATATATTTAGAAAATTGTTTTTAATTAATAACAGTAATATTTTATAAATATAATTAATCATTATATGATAAAAATTATTTTATAAATTTTTTTGATTAGAATAATTATGATATAATTATCAATTTATTTTTGTTTAATTTTAAACTAATAATTAGAATATGCTTATCGATTCTAAATTTTTGAATATCATTTATACATTGAGTAATAACCATAAGATGATTTTATAAATAATAATAATCTTATTTTAGGTGTTAAAATTTGATTAGAAAAATTTACCCCGATTGTTCTAACCTTTAAACAATTTAATTACTGTTTATAATATTATTAATTAATCACATTTAACAAACAATTTATTAATATGAATTATAAAATCTGATAGTATATTATTTCATGATATAAATTCAAGTTTTTCTTTGTTAGAATAGTTTAATATTTTTATGTTCTATTGGATCTTCATTAATATTTCCTTCAATTTATTTAATCGGCATGTATTCACTATCTAAATTTAAATCTGATTAAGATTTTTGCTTTTGAGCAACTTGAATCTTTTTCATTTATTTTTGTTCTTTTTCTTATTCTTCCAAAGTTTCAAAGTTCATCTTAAGCTATTTCTCCTCTCTAACTTTATCCTTCCCTTTGAAATTTGCAATTCTCATTCTTTCCTCTGTTTTTGTTTCAACAAATTTAGTTATTCCCTTCTTTTATTTAATTTGTAATTGCTATTAATCTGATTCAATTCCTATTTTTTCTCTTCTTCTCTAATCTAAAAATTGCCTAATAAAATATATTGCTAAAATAATCAACAATAAAGCTGTGGTTGATCCTGTAAATAGTAGGCCATATATATAATTTGAAGTAAACAATATCAAGATGGCACCAATGTAAACCTAAATTTAATAGAAAATTTTACAGAGAAAACTATAATGAACAGAAATAGTTCAATAATATTGAACCAATCAATAAGGCACGGTTTCATCCTCAAATAAAAGATAATAATGAAAAGCATAATGCAGGAAGCAAAAATTAATTAAAATATAAAGGAGTTAGAGTCAAAATTGGCAAACAACGAGCTTAATCCGAGTATTAATAGTTTGCATTAAACGTAAACAACTAAGTAAGTGGATCTGTACTTTAAATCTAATGAATGGTCATTAAACTAAAAGATAGGTTGCATATAGGTAGTTAATGGATAATAGATGCTTACTCCTAAAAATGCTAGTCCCATATAGATATAATGTTATTCACTTAAACATTCCACAGAATGGTCTCTCACTAAGACATAAGAAACTGAGCCAACAATATCATAGTCACAAACAAAAGCATCAATAAACGATTTCATTATTCTAAGGAATAATCCATTTAAGATTTATATTGCTTTTGTCAAATACCATTATGGATGAGTATAACTGGCTGGTAACCCATTCAAAGTATTTTGGCCAAATGTATTTTATTTTACATGATGAACAGCTATCCTTCCTAAAATTCCATACAACACAGAAGCAAAAAGGGATGCATAAAAGTAAAACGCATATGAATCATAAAATGCAGCTCCATCAACAACATCTTGCCCTTACACTGATGAAGCAGAATCATTACCAAACCAAGAGACATTACTGTTAAAGGTTAAAGCTGCTAAACCATATACATCATAAAATCTTGTAGAAATAGCAATGATGTTACTTAATGTAGGTCTGAACTATTTTACAACTAACTTTTTTTTTTATTACTCTTCGTAAATATTGATTTATCTGAAGAGTTCTTCAATACCACCTTTTGCAACTTGTTTCCAGTCTCTCATCTCTAGTCTAGCTTCATTTACTCTTTAAGCCCAACCTTTTCTAACAGGCTTTTTCTTCTAATCCTCAAAGCCTCCTAAAATAGTTTTCCAGCACGCTCCTAATATTTAACAAAACACTAAGTTCAGGCATCTAAGAAAACTATAACAACACTTTTTGCAACAAGATAATTTGTTATCATATTTATGTTCTACCTCCTAAACTTTCTCTGCATATTCAAAGTTAAGTTGTTTTCTTGATTTCTTTGGGAATTTAATACTGTTAGCCCTTTTAATCTGATTATTTTGAGAGTTTTATCCGTCATTAATTTGAAGTAACAACATGCTTTATTCATCCTACATTTCTTACTTAGTTTGTTTTCTTCCATCAAAGTTTTCTTAACAAAAAGGGTATAATTTTGGGTCAAGTACATTATTGAGAAGCAATCTATTGGTTTCTTTTAAATTACTATAGAGTGATTTTATAGATTTAATTAAACCTGGATAAATATTACTTAATGTTAATTGCTTTAGTTATTAATATTTATCAACAGAGTTGTTTGGCAAGGCAGATTTGAGCAAATTTGCAAAATCTAATTCACTTAAACTATAAGTTTAATTTAACCATATTTATTTAGCATGAGTTGTATATTCTATGATTCCAAAATTTAAGTCTGTTAATCTACAAAATTCCTTGAAATCATTATAACAAATTGAGGGAGGAAGTCCTTCTTCTTAATTACTAAACTCCATAAAAACCTCATGCATAAATTATGGAAATAAATTATTATCCTGTTGTAGTGATTAATAATAATCAGTTGATGTTATTTTACTTATTGCTTTATTTGATATATCTTTTCTTTCCAAATTTCTAAATTTTTCTGTTTTTGAGGATACTAATTACTCAACATCAATATGTTATTTTTTTTAAGCTAAAATTTGAGCAGTTGGTTCTAATTCAAAGTTTAGGAGTAATCCTGTCTTTTCATTATCATCCATCAACTTGTAGACGCTTGAAAATTCTGGAATTAATTATTCCATCATTTAGCCTTATTCTTCATCCATTTTATAGATGTCTCTTAGTAAAATAATTTCATTTTCCTTATCTTTTTCTAATTATTCTATTTCTTCTAATCCACATTTACATTGAATACATTCCCAAAACATCATTAAACATTAATTTTGTTTTTTTTCTTTTTCTTCAATCTTTTTCTATTCTATTGCCTTTGTAAATTTGTCATAATTAAGTTTTGAAACTAACTATTTATTGCATTCCAAATCTTCTCCTAAATATTCTATAGGACCAACAGGTTTGAATTCTTCGATTAAATCTTTAACTAATATTTGTTTAATTTCTTATTTTTGATTGATTTCCTTATTATTTTTATCTTGAAGCCCAGGTTTCTGTTATTTCTTGACTCTCCTTTCCACAACATTACCAATAATCAAATATCTCATATAGATTAAAGAACATACTGCCATATCACTATAAACATGCTCTTTATAGAAATAAGCTATCAATCCTTCGACAACAAATCGTTTTTTCCTCTCAAATTCTTCTTTATTAAGTAAAATAGAGAAAAAGAGAGAAGTACCAGTCACACCAAAAATGCAGATAAATAAACCACTTGCAACTGCGATTTAGGCAAAGGTTTGAAAGTTCTCTGAAGTGTTAACAAATTCAATTGATAGCATAGGCACAATGACGCCAAATGGAAAAATAACACAACACCATAACAATGAGCTTACAAAGGAAGAGAAAAAGTTTTCATATGCTTCTGATTGATTCTTAATATATGTTAAGACTTTATATAGTAGGAATATTAATGGTAACCCAAAAGCCAAAGCCATAAAGAAGGTTGAGAATATTTCATTTGATATTATTGCACCAAATGGTATAAAGACCACAATCGGACATATCAAACCAGTTAGCACAGTATAATTCTATATTTTGAGGGCTTTCATTTTTTTTTCATTTTCAATTTATTCGATTTTTTCCATGTCTAGATTTGTAATTTCAAAATCATTTTTAATTTACAATGATCTGCCCGATAAGGCTAAATTTGTTAAGAAGAATAAAATGGGATGCATTACTAATAAACTGAAAATAGTTCCAATTTCTACATCTGTTGGTTGATATTCTTTATCAAATTCTTAGGAGAACCAAAAGAATTCTCCTAAGAAAAATATTGATAAAAGAAAGAATGCTGCATTAATCCATAATCCATAAGGAGTTAAATTGTAATAGGCATATTCTCCGAAGTTGGGGAAGTCATCTTCGGAGATTTATTTGACTCTCCAGACAGCTGATATGGATAATTTGATAAAATAAGCAAAAATCACAATCAAGATGATGGCTCCTATTCCTACTAACACATAACTAGTATATAATAAGGATCCATCATCAGATTCGTAATAAAGTGGAATCAGTACTCCTAAGGGAAAGGCCAAAAAGAAACATAAGAATCCTAATGAATACATTTGTAATTTTCGCTTTTCAATACCAATCATGCTAATAGTCAGCCAAATAGTAAATAAAAATAATGGTCCATAATATATAGCATCTCCTATAGATAGAACCATGTCCTAAGTAGTAGATTGTGAATCCAAATAAAAGTACAATTTCAAAAACGAAAATATGATTGGAGCTCCTAAAAATAATGGGATGTATAACAGTGTTTTTGATAAATCTCTGTTGGTGATTGAAATAAAAACACCTAAAAATAAATAAATGGGAACAATAGTAACTTCAAAAGCTAAGGTCATAATTTCACTATAGTTGGAATACTAGTTTTAAAGTATTGATGATAGTTTTAAAAATAGCCAAATCTCAACAATGAAATAAAATATTCCAATCATATATGATATTATTCTAACCTTGTTCCTTTATATCCAACTTAAAGTTTATTACTGCGTTGTTTGTGATCGAATGTATTGTTTTTCAAGCATGTTCTTTAGTCTATCAATTGCTGTCTATATTACATCCTCTGGCCAATCAAACAATCTGGCCTTAATAATAAACCATGAAAAGACCAATATTAAAAGCAATGGAATATAAAGTGTAGAGAGAACATAAGTTATCAAATCTGAAAATACTAGTTAAGATGTAACGATAACATATTCTAACACGTAGTATCCAACTAAGAACACACAGAATAGACACCAAAAGTTAACTACCATTGCTGCAAAGAACTCTTTCATAAAGCTTTTCAACCAAATATACAATTATGAAACTATTAATCCATTCAGCACAATTAACACAATGAATGCTAGTATAAAAATCATAGAAAAATCGTAGTTGGCTGATGAATTCAAATTCAGTAACTAAATTCATTAATAAATCATACGTTTAGATAATTATTACTAAGGAACCAAATTGGCAGTAGCACCCCTAAAAATGTAATTATAAACACTATCCAAGTTTGCTTAATCATTATTATTCTACAACTTAAATATATTATTACACTAATGTATATATTGTAAATAATGCTCCTAATCCTGCTAGATTATACACAATACTCTATTTATTAGCATTTGCTTGTACCTCGGAGGAATTTTGTAAATCCTGAAATAGATTATAAAAATTACTAAAGTTTGGATTATGTACACCACATAGATAATCAAATAGAAAAACCAAATTAACACATGATAGTGGGTTATCTCAAAACCTCCATCAAAAAATCTGCATTTAGCAGAAAACCACTACTCTAGCTAATTATTAATGGTTATTATTTTATTGATCCAAATAAATTTAGGATTGCTTTCTCTTTCCTCTACAAGCTAGAATAAATCTTATATATAAGGATGATCAGGTCCTACATATGAATATTCCTTCCCCCCTATTGTAAATTTTTTTGTTATTTTTGGTATTGGCTAAAAAGTGCTTGAATATATTATCGAAATGTACTTTGATCTAGCTAAGGAAGGTTTTGAAGAAATGTCATCTCGTAAATTTTAATCCTCATTTTATTATATAGGATTGGGTGATTACATTAATAGTAAAAAATGGGAGTAATTAATATTAATAAATAATCACAATCTTTTATTATAAATCACAGAGCTAATTCCTAATAGTATATATCACCTAGATTGAGTTCTTTTAATCAAATCTTTGATCTCTCTTCTCTCTTAAATTGTACTCCTAAAAGTAGATTTATATTTCTTACTATTAATAATACAGATTTTATCTTGTAAACTAATAGGAAGTGTTCCTAAAACATGTTTACACTAAACATGGCAGTGAAGATTGCGAATTAACGGCATACTGTAAAGAGTTTGGTTATAGATTTTGGCATTCTATAATATTTAATATTATTTGGATTAAAATAATTCATCATCACATTTCATGATCTGATTCAGAACTCTAGCTTAAGTTTAACACATTTTCATAAGGAACAAGTTTCTTATATATTTTATCCATATCATAGGAGTTACCCAATATTTTCGTATAAGAGTCAGGTCCTTCACTTTCAACTATTTTCTGTTTTCTTATTTTTAAGGCATTTAGCAACTTCATATTATTTAATTATACTTATTGATCATCTTTACTAGCAAATTTAGTATACAAGGAGTCATAAGAAGAGTGGCATTTAACTTTGAAATCTCTTAGTTTTCTTAGATAATCTGCCTGAACTTAGATGTTATTCTCTTGTTATTGGACATTTTCTGATGATATTAATAATAAGATTACAATTTTCAGTGACTTCAATATTAGATAAACTCTAAGATTTATTCATTTAATAGGCATTTTAAAATGTTAATAATTCTTCTTCTAATTTAATTTTCTTTTGTCTTGCAGCTTCTAAATTCTATTGTTACTCTGATAACTATATTTCTAATTCACTTTTTTTTTCAATATTTGCCATGAAATCAAGGAAATTAGTCGAATGACTATAATTTTATTCTTTGATATCAAATATGCCTTTAATTTAAGCATACTTTTTCTCAAATAGTTCAAGTTTCTCATGAATAGTCTTAGTATTTTTCTCTTGCTACTATTTTAATTTCTTATTTTGTTAGAGATCGTTTTGTTTAGCCTAGTTTCTTCTTAAGTTTTGAACTGACTCTAAAGCTGAATCCTAAATGTAAGCATCGGCTAATGGATAAATAGAGTGTGAATACCTGCTTAGAAAAGATGATCTAGGTTAGTTTTCTCTAATAAGGAATTTCTGATTTAGTTGATTAAATTTCCTTGATGCTTCTTCTTCTGATTATAGGTGATCAAAAAGTCATCTATTGTTCTATATAGTATTTTGATCTGTTATTTATTTTTTTGGATTTCTACTTCTTCAAATCTAATAAGTTTCTTAAAATTATTAATCAACTATTACAAATGCTTAAATAATATTAAAATATAATTACTCTAATATATTCTTCATTCTATTGTTTATTATCCTTACATATTTTTAAGATAGTTATAACTCTTACTTTTTAAACACTGCTTGTTTTATAAGATTATTCAGCCTCTTATAATTATTTTTCGAGTTCAATCTTTGTTTCCTTCAATTCCTCTAGATTAGATAACTCCTTCTTTATGTAGCCCTTATTAAAATCAATGATTTTTTATTATTTAAGTATCTTTGCCAATTTTAAATTCTCGTAAGTCAAAGTATCTAACTTCTTTCTCATTTGCTTTGCCTATTATTCCAACAAATGCAACTATTTTTGAGAGTGTTTTTGGATGTCTGTCTTAAGGATTGGGAATATTTCAGTCTATTAATATGCATTCAAAGATAATGAGGATGATTAAAATGACTTTAATCTACCTTTTTGAGATTTAAATTTATCCAACAATTTTACAGTATTCTATCCATCATTTGGTCTAGTTTCTATTGTTATTTTGATCCCCTTGGATTCTTAATTGAGAGTATCTAAATCTGTGAAATCCTATGTGATAAACATTGTTCGTTCATATTTTTCTTAGGACATATTTAGAGACGAAGCATTGATACTATCGATTCTTGGGAGAATAGCTTTGCTTCTATCATATCTACTGGCTTAAGAATTGTCAAAGGTGTATTCTAGTTTGACTGGCTAAGGCTGATTCAAAACACTGGCTTAAGGAATCAAGATGATTGATTGTTGTTGTTCTTCTGGCTCAGTATCATACATCAATTTTTTCTTTAGCTTAGCTTCAATAGCAATTTTTAAAGCAGCTAAATGTTATTAAATTTATTTTACAGTTTGTATAAGCATGTTCTTCTTCAACACTCATATAATCAGTGGCAGAAGAGAAACAGTGCTTGATAGTTTTAGAATAATCACATTTTTTACTAATACTCAAACATGCCCAAGGGAATTAGATCCAAATCCATCTCTTATAATAATAGTCCGATGACACTCTATCTCCAGTGATCTCTTCCTCACCAGACAACAGTTCTCTTTTATCTGTTAACAACTTTTACAGTATCTTTTACATTAAATATTTGTATTCATCAATGTCTAAAGTCTAAATCGTTTCCTATTCATCAGGTTCTGTCTCACTTGATTTTATCATTTATTTTAAATAGTGATTTCTGACTTCATATCTATTTTATTGTATTTCTACATTTTGAGACTCCATCTTAGTAAGAGCAGGTGTTTTAATTGCCTTAGCCACTCTTTTTAAATGTTTTGCAGGATCAAATTATTTTAATTCTGGATCTTTGTTGAAATACAAATCTAATTTCAAGATTTCTTAGAGCAATCCTATATCGAATAAATCTTATAAGACTCCAATAATGGGAGGGTGTCTAAAGACAGGAGTATTTTTGGTTTCAAAGTCTCCAAATTCTTTGAGAAATCTCGAGACTTAAATAATGATTCTAAAGAGATCCTCTGCACTTGGATGATAATGTATTTGGAAACCTTCTACTGCCTTATTATATTCTAATACAGGATCAAACCCATTTTCTTCTAATTTTTGCCAATATCTACAGAGATCGTATTTATTATTAGGGTTGAATAATAATAAGAAGTTCTCAATAATGCTGATGACTTCTTTTAATCTGAAATAGTTTTTGGCTGAAAATAAGTGGAATGTTTCTTCTTCTAATTTCCTAATTGAATTATTAGTGTATTTATTAATTGTTTCTGCAATTTTGTCATGTAATTATAATGTTTTTTCATTGTGATAACAATTAATAACACATTTTTTGAATATTTCATTATGAATAATCCATAATTCTCGATGTTTCATTAGGAATATCTTAAAGAAAAGTAAGAATAATTTCCATTGTTTATCTTCAAATTCACAAACTGATTAGATTTCTTTAAAAGTCAATCCTTTTTATGTAATCGCAAGAACAGTGATAAGTTGAATGAATTTTGGATCTTATTTCAATTCTGGGGTTTTGGGAGTAAAAATAAAGCTCTCACTAAAGAATTTTAATTGGAATGTGAATAATTCTTCAACAGTTCTGAAATGCTTGATTTGCTGTAAATTTAATTCTTTTAAAATGTTTTCAACAACATCAATATCAATATCCTTCAATTCTACTAGGCCATCTGTTGGATAAGGTAAAAATACTGTCATGAAGCTCCTTACGAAGAGTGGTTAATTCCTGACTTTGTAATGCAATTGGATGAATAACTCTTGGATTGTTTGCACTCTTTAATCCGACTAAGGGAATAGATTAAAAGAATACAAGAAATGATTGCTTAGCAAAATGGCCATTGACCATGATTTTGATTACTTTGGGATCACAAGTTATGGGAATCACATGACAGGAAGGTTTGAGTATTCTCATAGAATTAGAATTTTTTTCAGCAGTTACAATAACTTTAATGTTTTTTGGGAAGTATTTAGGCAACCAAAAGGAGACGTTGGCTTCTCTATGAACATCTAACATGTCTCTGAAGTTATCTATTCCTTCGAATATCAAGATGACCTAGGTGGATCTAGATGTTTAATAATACTTTATCATAAATGACTTTGGCTCCATTTAAGAATTGCTATTCCAATTCTCGACTGCATATTTCCAACCAATAATGGAAGTATCTACGGAGCTTCTCCTCCACTAATTCGACTTTCTATTTGATGTTGAGGGTCTCTCTTAATTTAATTAATATTCGGTAGATCGCAAAAAAGTAATTGCTATTCTTGCCTGATTGGGTAGCGAAATGAGGAATGATGTAATCTTAATAACGCTATGATTAATTGTACTGTTACTCCTTTTTTGTTTTTGGCATGATATTCCATCCATTTGACTAACAGAGTTTTCTTGCCAATTCCATCATCTGCTTCCAATACCAAGGGAGTGTTTTAATGCAATGATTTCTCTTCATCGAGCCAATCCTCGATCTCCAAAAAGTAACGATCCAAACCAGAAGCAGTTCTAAAATCAATTGTATAAGTTACTAATTTTTGTAATATTCGACGACTACATCGGATGAACTTGAATATGATTGAATATGTACTCTATGTAATTCATGTTCTCATGTCTCATCGATTCTATGGTTGTTTTCTTATCCTTTGGAGAAGTGGGTCGATTTGAATAAGCGTCGTCCATTTTATATTTAAATTAATGATTGACGAAAGTTTTCTTCTAAATGAAAATGAAGAATTTGGAGAATAACTCCTCGAAGATTTCACAATCCTCCAAAAATTGGGAACAGGGGCCTTCAGCAAAGTCTACAAGGTCTTGTACCAGGATCAAATCTATGCCCTGAAGGTATAGTTCAAAATTGTAATAGGTTGTTGATAAATAATTGGCTACTGGAAATAATATTGTAGAAAAGCTCAATCAAGAAGCCTACATTCTCAACACTCTGGAGCATCCAAACATCGTTTAATATTACAAGACAATCGAATCAAAGCGGAAACTTTATTTTCTCATTGAATACATTGAAGGGAAGTCCCTCCAGGAATATATTGATAAATCATTGAACGAATCTCAAATACGATAAATTTTATAATAAATCATATATGCAGTCGCATATATTCATAAAAAAGGTATAATTCATCGAGATCTAAAACCTGGTATGAACATCATTATAAATAGATAACATCTTGGTTGACAAAGAGTGGAACGTGAAAATCATTGATTTTGGCTTGAGTTTCTAAACAATAAATTCTACTACTCACGAAACATGTGGCACTTTAATTTATATGGCCCCAGAGGCTTTGATGAAGAAGGAATACTTCAAATCAGTGGATATTTGGAGTCTTGGAATTATACAGTATATGATGTTTGCCATTTGTCATCCCTTCTGGACCGATGATACACGAGAGACATTCTTAAGGAAAATGAAAACTCCCTAGTAGGTGTGTTATCCTTAAAATATGAGCAAGTTCAAAATTAGCATAATCATAGAATAGAGCGGCCATATCATTTTTTGAAAAAACTGCTGCCTGGGAACCTGAAGCTAGACTTACAGCCGAGTAAGCCCTAATTCATCCATGGATTAGTGGTGTGAATAGTCAAATGCCAATGTCATCGAAAGATATTATCCAAACATTTAAATGCTAGAATTAATTCCATCAAGTACTCTTTTGTTTGAGTATCATTTAAGTTGATAAAATTGTTGATGATACTTAGATTAATATAGAAAGTGAGTTAAAAACGTGATGTGATACAAACACAATAGTTAAGAGCGCACTCCTAGTTTCAAAATAATTTACATCCTCTGATTGTCAGTTCAAGAAATCCCAGTTCCTAATAAAAATTGAAGACAGAATCTTAATAACAACAACCACCATTGTCTGCGCACAGAACTACGCTATCAAGAATGCAGAACAATTCTTCTTTTCTTAGTTTTTAAGATGTATTCTTATCTTACAAGTAGTAACCAAGAGAAGATGTGCGATTGAAATAGATGAAGAACAAATAGCAGTAATTTAAATTACCTCCCATAAATACCAAGTCTGCTAACAATTCACCCTAGAATAGTAAATCTACTTAAATGTTTACTTTCAGTCCTTATAAGAAGGCACAACCCATTGGAGAACTTAAGAAGTCATAATTTAAATTATGAAATATAATATTTTATATGTCTTTTTTAAAGAAATTATTCTCAAAGCCAACGAAGGAAAAAGAAATGCCATAGGTGCAACGTAATATCAATCAAATTTATAACACGTAACCATTCCAAAGGAAATCAAATCCAGTCTATAATTACAACTGTATTTCCAGGATCGAATAATTCGAAATCATTCTTGAGCAATATATCATAGACCTTGAACAACTAAAACAATTGACTTGGAGAGGTGCTCCTTAAGGTAATTTATAATGTAACCTAAGTTTACAGAGCAAAAGTGTGGAAACTCATACTGAAATACATTCCACCCAATCATATGAGTCAAACCAGTGTAATTCAAAAGAAAAGACAAGACTACTTTCAATACATAAAAAACTACTACGAACAAATCCATGAGAGAGACGATAGCGAAGAAAAAATAATTAAAATTATATCTAATGATGTATTAAGAACCCAGCCTGATTATCAATTGTTCAGAGACCCCAAGATCTAGAACCTATTCAAAAGATTACTATTCATTTGGAGTCAAAGACATCCAATGAGCGGGTACTCTCTATCTTAAAGTAGTTACGTATAAGGAATTAATGATATTGCATCTCCATTGATAGCCGTGTTTCTGAATGAGTATGTCAGGGTGGATTTCAATAAATTTGATTTGCCCTCTGATTTTCATAAACTTCCAGATGATATCCTCCTAGACATTGAAGCTGACATTTATTGGTGTCTCTGCAAAATCATCGAGAATATTCAAGACTATTTCATACAAAACCAACCTGGTGTGTCATTGGCGTATGAAAAAATCAAAAATATTCTGAGCACTGTAAATCACATGAGTTATTTAGATCGATCCAACAATTTTGTCTTATTTTCAATAACAATAGATAGACTTCAATCATTTTGCCTTCAGATGGGTGATCTGTCTGCTTGTTCGAGAATTCCCTCTCTACTTGGCTATCAGGTTGATGGACACCTACCTTTCTGAAGGGGACAACATGGCCAATCTCCACATATACACGGTTTCCAATTTGATCCTCAAATGTGGACCTGAGGTAGCCTATTCATAACAACATAGATCAAAAATAAAAACATGGGCGAGGCTGTCATCTTTTTATAGAACCTTCCTACTAAAGATTGGACAGAATTGGACATTGAAATGCTACTACAAGAAGCCTATGTCTTTAAAGAGTACATGACCAACAAACAAAATTTGAATTAATCCATGACTCCCACTTAAACAAATCGAATTTCCAATAAATGAAGATAAATTCTCTTTATTAATTTTAATTAACGAAAATTATATCTATGCAACCATTGTATTGCCAATCTCCCAAATAACCCATCAAGAAAGACTCTTGTTTGCACCAATTCTAAAAATTACTCTCCGAATCCCTCAATCGCAAATAAGCTATATAAAATAAAGAAAATACCAGAAGTAGTTTTCAAATGAGAAGCTACAGCAAATTGTAGTCGCCTCCCCATCGTTCTATCCCAATTAACAATTAACTCAACCAAGACCTCAAAAAAACACTCAACAGAGTCAAATCTATGCTCGATAAGGCCTACCAAGAAAACTTAGCATTGAAAACCGAAAATAAGGAATTACTACAATTGCTGCAAGAGAAAAACCTATTGATTGAAAAATTACAATAGAAAAAATCAATAAGCCAACATTCTTGAATTATGCAATCACATTTGTACTATATATATAAATATATATAATGAATAAATCAAATACTAAATCGCCTCCTCCCGGGATTTAATAGTAGAGCTTATCAGCAGAACCTAAGGAAACCAAGAAACTTAGAACAACTTTAGATTACTCATTTAAGGAAATCAAGAAACTTGAAGGTATACACATATATTGTAACTATCCAAGAATTAAAAAATAAAGAAGTTAAACCCAGAGAAGGTGAACAATGGATATTTAAGGAATAGAAGAAGTAGGAAAACCAAGAAGTAAAGAATGATACTCCAAAAGAATAAGTGCTCAAGTAGTAATAATCTTTGCCTGAAGAAACAGAGCCAGTTTAACCACAACAACAATAACCCTAAAAATAATAAGACAATAAGAAAGGCAATGCTCCATAGCCACCTCCTCCTTAATTGATTCCATAAACCAATGTAGCGACACAATTAATCACATTATAAAATATACCACTCAATGGAAAAATAGTTGGTGGCAAATTACAAGAAAATAAAAATCAAAGCCAGCAATCTAAGTTCAAACCAGAATTATGTTGTTAATCGTTAATCTTATGTCAAAATAAATTAACTAGTCTCAGTGGGTTTTATCAGATCATGCAAACTGTTATGCCTAATGTTGAATTACTTCGATGGATTGATCTATCATATAATCAATTGACCACTCTGGATTATAATTTTAAAGAACTACCGCATTTGTAATCATTATATCTGAACTTCAATTAGATAAAGGAAATCAATGAATTGAAATAAGTATTTACACACTCTTATTCACATAGTTGTCACACTTACAAGAACTAAGATCTCTAAAAATCTATGGAAATCCAATTGAATAGATCATCAATTTCAGATTATACATAATTGATGTGCTTCCATAATTGAAAAGGATAGATTCTGTCCTAATCAGTAAAAAAGTATGTACTATTTGTATTCCCATTCTAGGAACGAGACAATTCCTCTATGATTGTAAAGGTGTTTGATTTTAAACCTCAAATGAAAGCCTAGGCGGATAAAGAGAAATTGCTGTTATAATAAACCTAAATTACATAATAAAAGTCAAAGTCTTAACCAAAAAAGAAAAAGTGATAATTTAATATATTCTAATATATTGATATCTATATAAAAGGGAAATTAGTAATCAATAATTTTATTTAAGATTTTTTCTTTTTAATTGCTGTTCCATCTTAAAATTATCCTGCTTAACAACTTTAATCTAGACATACATGAATAATATCTTACTCTTGCTTTAATATCTTATAGGTCTTAGTCAGTGTATTCGGAATCATTGATAACTTATTGCAATCTCTCGTTTTCTTCAACCAATAGTTGAATCTTTTCATTTAAATCAGCATATATATTCTCAGTCATCTTCTGTTCATAAACCTATTCAACTTATTTATATGTTAATTTTAAATGTTCTTCATCCCTTTTTAATTATTATTATTGCTTGTTCAGATTGTCAATTTCATTCTTCAACCTTGAGATATCAGAAATCATTTGTAAATTAGAATTTGACGATAATTATTGATTCAATCTATCATTTTCAGCAATTAGATTTTAAACCTTATTTTCCAATTCATTAACTAAATCCTTAATTTAAGAATCATCACATTGATCTAATTTATTTTGTAATTCATCACATTTCATTTGGTATTACTATTATTCAGATTTGATACTCTAAAGTTATTATGATGTTTGTTTACGAATTTACTAAGATTTTTCTAAATTCTCTTTCATTCTTGCAACATCAGTTTACTCAATAAGAGACTAATTTTCAAATTGCAATTTGTCATTTAACTATTTTAATAAATTAATTTTTTATTCTAATTCCTAAATAAACTATGAAGATTGTCCTCTCTGTACTTCGCTTTCCATCTATTGAATATTTTGTTACAATAAGTTATTTGAGTCTTGCAATTGTTTAAACTCATTTAATAAATTGGGATTGTTGTAATTGATTGGTTTGAGTTGGGATTATGATCCCTTATTATTATTATAATAAATGGGAGTATTAATTAAATTATAAGGTTGAGGGGATTATATGATTGTTGGTTATTGTGTTTACTTGGGAGATTAAAAAATGATGGAGTTATCGCGATTTTGAGCTGGACTCATGCAAACAAATTGTTTAGTCGGATTAACGAATTAAGATAATTGAGTTTCATTAATTGAATCGTTTTTTTTATCGTTTTTACCTCCAACCTTGAATTAGATTGAGTAATCGTGTGATTGGTTGGGATTCAAATTAGATTTTGAATTGCTGTATTATAGAGACTACGAAATAAAATAAGTAAATTACAGGAGGTTTTTCTTGATGACTCGAATTAGATGCTCTTTTCAGATATTAATTGTAATATGGATTGGTTGAGATGGAAGTGGTTTTATTGATAGTATCGATGTCCGTGCTTGCTTTGTGATGAAATTTATTAGGTGGCATTTATGCATTTTAGGTATTTTCAATGCTCTAAAAAGGCGATCTTGATTGATATTGATTGTATTTTAGCGATTATTATTGTGGTTCTAATATGTTAAGGATTAAATTTACATGAGGGATTTCTTCTTCCAACTTAATATTGTTACATGCTAACAGCCAAAATTTTAATTATTATTATTTATGAAATTAAGAAAATTAGGATTATCAATATTATTATGTAGTGCTGGATCATACAGTCTTTATTGCAACGAGAAGACTAAAGCATATATTTGGGGCAATGGAGTATATTAGGCACTTCCTGGACAGGGTTTGAGTTTTAATAATTTCACTCCAAAATAATTGATAGATTTCGATGATAAGAATCTATAGAAATTATTCCTTTCTGAATAATTCGAAAGTGGAATAACAGGAAACGGAGATGGATATATATGGAATGCTCACAAGTTAAGCAGTGCAGAAGATAAAAATATAATAGATGGAAAAAGATAAAATATTACTAAAATCAATGTACCTAAGGGCAAGATTAAACAAATCAAATATACCAAATAATTTGTATGGGCTTTGACCAACAATGGAGAGGTCTTTCAATATTAGGTCAAGGATGGGTAATTTGTAAATACTCCAAAAAAAATCAATAGCTTATAAAACATCCAATAAATAGAATGTGGAGAAGATCATTTTGTGGCACTTACTAATGATGGATCTATTTTAACTATGGGTGATGATACTTATGGTCAATGTGGATTAGGAGCCAATAACAGAAGCACAGCACCTCCATTTTATGAATCAAGAATTAGGAATCCAACAAAAATAGAAAATTTACCAAAAATAAATAAAATTATATGTGGATCCAATCACACATTATGTATAAGCACTGAAGGATCAGTTTATGGATGGGGATCAAATTCATAAATGCAATTGTCTCATTCAGAAGAATTCTCAAGAGTCGCAGAACCATTGATTGCTGTTTATAATCCATTAAGAATATCTGCATTAATGGATAGCAATAATTAGGTCTTGGATTTGGCTGCTGGAAATGAATTTAGTGTGTTTGTCACAAAGAACAAATAAAACTCAGAAACTGAAGTGTTTGCTTGTGGTCATAATATCAGAGGACAATTAGGTTGTGGGTTTGTTAGACATATAAGTGATATTGTTAAACTTGAAGGACTATCAAATTTCAAAATTAATATCAATGGTAAATAGGAAAATGTGGAAGTCAAATAGATTGAATGCGGATATAATCATTGTCTGGCATTAACAAATGTAGGTGCTATATTAGAGTGGGGTGATAATGAATATGGACAATTAGGAAATAAAAAAAGGTAAGGCATTTCAAATTATACTTAGATCCTTCACAGACAAACCTATAGTAGTATCATAATTTGTGTAAAATAGAGTTGCATCCATATCATGTGGTAGTAATAGCAGTGGAGTAATTATTTAATAATGATAGAGTATATAACATCAATTCATTAATTTTAAATAAATATTAATATAAAAGTGATATCATCAACAACTGAATCATCATCTATCGTCCACATTCTATATGCAACTCTCATTAATTCTTCACTAGCTCCTTCAATGTTATTTTATTAATAGTATTTCCCAACAATATCAACAACGATTTAATTATCTAAGAATTCCCATACTCCATCCGATGCAATGATGATAAATTTATCATTCAATCCCAACTGATATTCAACAATATCTGGAATGCTACTAACTCCAATAGATTAGGCTACTTAATCTCCTATACTTCTACTCATGGCTAAACCTGGATATTGGGTTCCATTTACCCAAACTCGCAAAGGTCCTATGGGATTGCCTGGAATATTTATAATAATGTACCATTTTAATCATAGAATGTATCAATCTTGCCTCCCGATGAGATTACTCGGTATTACTCTTTTTTGATGGTTAATTTATGATCGATTGACAATTAATAAGGTTTAAATTTGGAACCATATCCTGTTAATTTGCCAATGACTGTTCTGCTATCACCAACATTAAATGAGTGAATTCTACCATTTTCCAACAATATAATGCCATTCAATGTAGAACCACTGAAGTTAGTATCAAAGGGTTGTTTGTTAACATTGACAGAAACATTTTAGATACATTTCTGAATTGTTTCTTTTATTTAGTGAGATTACAATTATGATTTATCTTTTTGAATAGTATTTGGTAAATGAGTTTGTATGAAATTGGATACTAGATGACCATTTTGACCATGACCATCACAAACAAAAAATAAATGCAGATTTTCTATGAAATTGGTTTAACAATAAAAAATGTCTTAATTTACTTTGCTTGGGTTATTGGCTATTTAACCTTATCTTGTTTTATGACTAAATTTTAGATTAAAATGGAATGTATCTTGAGGTTCAAGACCACATAAAGAAGAAGTTGATCTATTTTTATTATAGGTTTCTTCTGTTTTCAAGATGTTTATCTAGCTTTGAACTCTTCTCTCTGGAACTAATGATTCAGGGTTAACCTTTTGTGTTTAAGTGAGATATTTACTTACATAATTATGCCATAATTACTTTCTATTTCTCACAGGCACTCTGCTCATCTCCTTGGATTTATTTAATTTCAAGAACGAGTCTAAAAAGGTATTGTATTTAGTGTGAGTGCGGTTCAATTATTATTATTATTGTCTAGTTTATTGTGAATAATTATTAACAATCAATCCTTTAGTTATAAGTTTATTTACTCTTTTGTGTAATTTATGACTAATTCTCACTATAATCTCTCTTGCCCAATCCAAATTTGCCATTTACGAACGAGTTTGTCTTGTTTTAGTTATCATCTATTAATAATGAGGATATCTACTTTTGTTATCTCTTGTCTGTTATTAATAATTGCCTTCAGTTTTGAAAACCTTTGGACTTTTTAAACGTCTTGATGCAGTTTTGGTTTTATCAAAAATCCTTAAATTCATATTATTTATAATAAAGAAATGGATGAAAGTGGAATAATTGGATAAATGATACTTGAAAGTAGTGGCAGAATCAAAAAGGTTTTTAATTAAATCAATATTTAGAGCAGCGGCACTTTAGATAATCCTAAGTTAATTCCCTTCATAACTACTATCGTCTCATCAACAGCTAAGATTTTAGATAAGCAATCACTCAACAGAGTAACACGTACATTAAAATAATATCATAGTAAGTTATTAAGAATCAGATATCATAATATATATAGATTAAAACGACATCGTAGTTTTGGAAAGAAAAAAGTGATGTAAATAAATATATTAAAATATACATAAATTGTGCATACTTAAATTTTATAATAATTTTTCTTAAGTCAATAAATCTTAATATCTCCTTTTGTCTACATTCTCCTTCCATTCATTAAATATGATCTAATTATGCTTCTGTTTCTATAAAAGTTGGCTAAATATATTATATTTATCATAAAGAATATTTAAATTCAAACTTGTGTTTATTCTCAACATTATAATGAAGATATTAGAAGAACATTAGAGAGTGTTAATGAGTGAATCGTGTTTTTGATAGATTAAATAAAGTAGATCGATTTTGAGGTATAGTTTTATTTAGTTATTGTAAGGACCATATTAAATTTAAATGTAAGTCTTCAATTATTTTGGTCGTTAGGAAGATCCATGATAATAGAGTTAAATGCCTACATATTGTATGCAGAAATTAATCAACAAAGTTAATTAAATGTATAAGCTATCCAGAGATAAACTTTAATGTTAATTATTTTTAAATGATGAAATTGATATTAATGTGGATTATGGTGCAATGTGCGATTGGAATTACAAAAGTTATATCAACCTCATTCACTGAAACCACAACATTCACAGATCATGAAGGTAGAAAATTCAAATATTTAAGGTTGGACAATATCAAACACATATAATTTAGGCCATTCATCATGTGGGGGTGTCCAATTGTTCGGTGGTAACAATGAGTTTGATCAGTCAACTGGAATAGTCAAACTGTTTTCACTTCCACCTCACTACAAGTTATATCTATCTTTTGTTGTTTATGTGTATAAATTTATTCAATCGTTTTTAGTATTGATATGACATCTGGCTATACTATAAATGTCTTTTTGGATCAAATGCCTCACCAAATCATTATACCTCTCGCTTCAAGTGATCTATGTGGAACATCCCAAGTAGATTAAACTTACAATGTTGCTATAAATTAATTTCATTCTTATCCAACAACCATCATTTCAATATTTGGTTCATAGGATTAGACATTGGTAAATTAAAGTTTGAGAGTAGGTTTACTGGGGAATACGTGATTTTGTACTATCAGTAGATACTTGTCCATCAAATTGCGATATTTGTTTTTCAGGATCCTAAGCTTTTGAATGTTAATAATGGAAACTCTTTCACTCAGCTTGGACTAGCACAGACATGAATGATTTTGATAATGGTGGATGGTACACACAGTCACTTGCAGGCCCTACGGAATGCGCTTCAATCCCGATCAAAGGAGGCTACAATAGTATGACAGCAGCAGGATCATTAGATAGATAATTTGTTTTGCCACCTCACTCCAGTTTATATTTCATATATAGATTTGTCATTATAGACGGTTGGACTGGACAACATGGTAATTTTAAGATAGAAAATGTGAATTTCTATTCTCTTTACAATTAAGTTGGAAATTAAAGGAATTTTTGTGGAAATGGGTTGCAACCTGATTAATTTCATATACATGGGATAGAGTATCTTCATGATAAGCCAATCATATCACTCCTCATCACTAGTGACTAGGGGGATTCAACCAAATTTTTTGGAATAAGAGATTTTTATATTTATGTTTGTAAGAATATGTATATTATTATTTAGATACACCCTCTTCAAGTTGTGGCGATGGAGTGATTGATGAGAATGAATAATGTGATGATGGAAATACCTATGCATTTGATGGTTGTTTTATTTGTGAGTACTCATGTGTAGAGGGATGTTCAACATGCATAAATGGGATGTGCTATGATTGTTAAGATGGATGGATGTTTGATATGCTAAATGATTAATGCATATATTAATAGTCTAACAATTAGATTGAGTAGGATCAAATAAGGGACAATCAACTTGATATTCATAATTACTAACTCAATTGTATTTAATTTAATCAACAAACTTAATGTATTAAATGTAAATTAGGATATGAATTATTTGAATATTGTTAGCCAGTCTGTGGAGATGGAATTGTGGCAGGTAATGAAGAGTGTGAAATGCCTTAAAAGAATTGCAATAGTTCTTGCTAATATTAATGTTAAGAAGAGTGCAGTGTCTGTAGTTTTGGTAAATGCCAATAATGCATATCTGGGTATATGTTGTAGATGTCTGAATGCCTACCGAAATGTGGGGATTATCAAATACAAAAGTAGGAGCAATGTGATGATGGGAATATGGTCAGATTTGAAGGATGCCATAATTGCTAAAATGAATGTTAGGATTAGTGTTTACTTTGCGGATTAGGACAATGTTTAATGTGTAAAGAAGGTTGGATATTGGAGAATGGATATTGTGATTCTAAGTGTGGAGATTAACGAATTGCATAAGGTTTGGAGGAATGTGATGATGGGAATGACATTTAATTTGATGGTTGTTACGAGTGTAAATTAGAATGTCCTGATCAATAATGTGCTGTCTGTTATTTGGGTGTTTGTTATAGTTGTCACTTTCCTCTAACTTTGTATAAAGATTAATGTTTGGTTATATGCGGAGATGGACTATTGGCATCAGGATATGAAGAATGCGATGATGGGAATGAGATTCCGTATGATGGGTGTTATAAATGCAAGTACCAATGTTATAAGGAATGTAAAATCTGTGATCGTGGTGTTTGTATGGATGAATGTGATTATGGATATTACTTAGTGAATCAGATATGTGTTCCATATTGTGGAGATGGGATTATTACAATTGATGAACAATGTGACGATGCCAATTCTATTGAATACGATGGTTGCCACTAATGTGATTACTCATGTCCTCAAAATTGTAATGTCTGTGAAGAAGGTATATGTTCCAAATGCAATTTTGGATTCTATCTGAACGATCAAAAGTGTATCACCAAATGTGGAGATGGGTTGATTGGATTCCCAGTTGAAGAATGCGATGATTATAATAAAAACAATTAAGACGGGTGCGATTCTAATTGTCTAATTGAAATTGATTGGACTTGTACACAACCTTCAGAAGACTCATTTAGTCAATGCTCTTACATGGTTGCTCCATCAATGAAACTTACATATATTACCTAAGAGTATAATTTTTAATATGTTGAACTCAGTTTTACTCAAAAAGTCAGATGTTATGTATAGAATTATACATCATTCATCAATGCCACTATTATTAATTTCAATGCTGATTCTTATAGAATTAATATCATTGAAACTATGCCAGCTAATTACACCTTGCAATCAGTAATATATGAATTCAAAATAGAAATATTAGAATAAGTTAAATCTGATATTATTTTGGAAATAGATCTCAATGAATAATTGTATAATGGAATTGAGATGAATTTGATTAAGTTATCATCAAGCATCAAATTGAATTAGCCTAAATTACTGGATCAGAATTAACTCACAGTTTCATCATCATTATAAGAAATGAACAAAGTCATTTTATATATCTCATGTAGCATTGGATTGCTATATTTGATTTTTGGTAAGATTGGTGTATTCCTAGACATATTGGATATCTTATAGTAGTAATCATATCTGAAATATATAAATGTGGAGATCCCACAGAACTTGAAAATGTACTATGAATCCAGCAATGTCATTTCCTTCCAACCATTCTTGCAATTCCTCAATCTTAACACTTTAAGTTCAAATTACGTGGAATTGCAATACATTGAAGCCAAGTACAAGTTCAAAGAATACGAAGTGAATGCTGACATTACTGCAAATCTTTAACTGTTTTTGATCATCGTGACAACTGTATTCATTTCTAAATTCATTTTTAAACAACTACTCAGATAACTATATAAAGCCAATATACCAATGATAGAGCAATTCCAATTTAAATTACATTCCACATTTACATTGATAATTTCAAAACTCTATTTCAATTTTGCTAAGCAAGGATTACAAGTCATCATTCACTCTAACAGTTTTGATTTGCTCTTCGTCTCTTGTATTCAACTGAGTGTCAATTGTGATTTGTACAGAACACTTCTGTCAGTGTGGATTATTGTTTTCACAACCCTTGTAATAATACAACCCAAGAAGAATAGACAGCAAAATAGTGTTATCATTATTAAGAAACTAACTTACATTATGATTCTGGTGTTTTATCAATCTTGCTAGATAGTTCAATCGATATTGTTGTCATTGATTCAAACCTTTTATATGTCATTTTTAATCAGTCAGTAAAAAAGCATGTCTCTTTAATTTTTGAAGTAGTTTATGGCTGAAGGATCGATGCTATTCACTCTTGTAATGAACTTTTGCTATTGGGATGAGTTAATGACTTAACTTAATTACCAGAATAAAGTAGATATTTCATGGAGTCAAATTGCATTGTTAACTTCATCGTTGGCTTCTATCATTTTGGTAGAGACTTACAATTCTTTTTTGAATATTTATAAGAAAGTTTAATAGAAAAAGAAGGGAAAACCTTGTAACTCAAAGTATCCTTTCGAATAAATGATTGTTTTTTGATTATATATATATATATTTAATAGTTGAATTTTTAAAACTGCTATCGAAATATTATTTTTATTATGGATCCTATCTTGACCGAGAGTCATAAACTCATTCAATAACAAAAATTCCAATAGGCATTTGCTTTGCTCCAATAAAACGAATCCAAAATACTTTAACAACCACAACATCAAAATCAATTTCATTTAAATACTGGGATATGTAGCTTTCGACTTGGAAATTACAAGTAGGCCGTCTCTCATCTTGACTTATGCGACAAGAATGATTCGGAGCAAAATGTAACTGCCATTAAATATCTCTTGACTGCCCTTGTTTATGATCAATAGTACGAGAGATGCATGAAGGAGTCAACAATATTTCTAGAATACCAGAATGTCTAAATATTACTCAATGTATACCAGAGTAGAGGTCAATGTCTCTAAGATCAGGGTCTATATTTGGCAGCCATCCAAGAGTTCAAGAAATCAATTGCCAAAGGAAATAAAAATAACATCGACATCGCCTATTGTTATCTGCAACTGGATGAATTGCAAGATGCAGAGATATTTGTAAATGCATATTCAGAGAAAGAACAAGGTGATATCCAAGCCCAATTGATTAAAGCTGAACTCCTCTTAAGAACAGCCAGAGAAAAAGAGGGTGCTTAAGTTCTGTACACTGCTTATTAGTATTACAAATCGAAGTAATTTGGAATTACTGATTACACTCCTAAGGAACTAGAATACATGGAATCCAAATTGAATGAAAGAAATGGAAAATACATTGAGTCCTTTTATAAAAAGACTAGAACACACAATTTAGATGATGATTCTAAGAATACATTTGTATTATTTGTTAAGGAATTAAATAATAAATAATAGTAGGAATTATCAAAACAAATCGAAGAACAAATTAAAAAAGTGCTCTCCAAAACTTAATTATTGAAGATGCATGCTGAAAAAGCAGTAGAGTCACTTTTAGAAGATTAATAATATAAAGATTATTACGATACCTTTATTCAATGTGTTGAGTCTACTTTTGATCGAGCAAGTGGGTTTGTAAACAGATTCTAAATAAAGACAGATGACATTCTCATAACCTTTGGAATAGAATTATTAGCCATGGTTCCCTTGGTTGGTTAAACAGTGTCATCAGTTGTCAACTCTTTATAGGCTGAAATCAGAACTCTGTAAATTGTTCAGAGATCAACAGCCTTAATCCAAATTGGTAACACTCAAGACGAATTGACATTTTTAATGAAACAAGTTCTCGTCATTGTCCTGTAAGATTAGGAAAAACAAAAGGAAATCAAGAACCCTGAAGTCTCAAAGAGTTATTAAAGTTACTTGAGAGATTTCTTGACTTTGAAATTGCAAATCAAAAAATAACTAATTAATCAATTGGATGATATCTACATTAAGGAGAAAAATAAATAAGAATTATTAGCAACTAAGGATGCAAGTGAATTACTCGGAGCTTACTTTAGTTCTGGGTATTTGTCTTTGTTTGAAGATAAGGATGAAGAGAAATTTCCATAAATGTGTGCCGAATTTGTTTTGGCAGAAGGTGATTAAAAGGTGTAATTAAGAAAGAATGTATCGAAAAAAATAGAAAGATAAAATGATAAATAAATTATTGAAAGTAAATGTTGTGTTATTTATTGAATATCCTATATCCACCTTTGATTATTTGTCATATTATATTTATATATTATTATTATCAATAATTGAACTTATGAATAAAATAACAATGAAAGATGAATATGAATAAACAGCCAATTTTTTCTATCCTCCAGATCAATTAGGAAATAAATAAAAATTTGTACATTCCAGGAGAATCTTGAAACCCAAGAATACAGTTTCTAATCCTTCTACTTAATTGTAAAATATCTAATTTAATGATGGATTATAGAACGATTTCAAAGCGTAGTTCTGATCATTCAGGTCTACACACTCCTCCTTAGATAAGTGAATTGAGTAAGCGATCAGAGATCTTAAGGGATTGTGAGATGAAAAAGACTAACAATTATCGAATACTGAGTTCGAATATCAATCAACGACAGAGCTATCCTCAATAGATTAGTTTTAGAAATGAATTCTTATTTGTAAACGAATAGAAAATAAATTAATTTGCTTAAAGTCCTGTATCGAAGATTAACAAACTGCCTGAAATCTTCAATCACAGAAGCTCTTGTCAAGGGTTCAAATAGAATTACAGAATCCAGAGCAGTCAGAGCAAAAGAGATACCATAAGTAACTTTACTCATGAATGCCCCAAACAACAATGCATACAGGAATTCATGTAACAATTGGAATTAAAACAAACAATTTAGAAATAAAAGTAAACAAAACAGCCTAGTTAACCTATTTCCTTTTTATAAGCAAAACAATAAATGAAGATGATAAATCGAATATTTTCAGGCAAACGGGATTCGTGATTATAGTATATATCTCATTCCATTGATGATTTTTGTACCTTATAGGAACTAGCTTTTTTCAATCCCATCTTAGGTGTCTAAGCATTAAGTTTCGATATTGCATCTTCCAAATGAGATGCCTCCTCGTTCACGCAATCATCATCCTTACTCATCTGATTGATTTATTATTAAAACGAATTTTTCAAGGCCGTCTTCCTTAAATCCGATTAGTTATTCTTCTTAGCCACTGGTGAATCTAATATAAATAATTCAAATACTAGCATCCGAATTGATTTACTGCTTAATTGACTAACTGAATTAGCTAAATTTGCTTTACTAAGGTTACGGCTTCTAATCCAACCTAGTGACTGATCCATTATTGGACACATTCGAAAACGATCCCATAGTATCAATTCTCCCATTCAAAGCAGGTTGTCTCTACTGTAATTGCATTGATCCAACCTGACTTGGAGGTCTATATAATCAATTGCAACACTTCTTACCCTTATTACTTTCCTAATCCATAGACGAAGTCCTTTTCGTATTCTCGAAGACTATCTTGAACATCAATCAAATCTTGTTCCTTGAAGATCTCTTTGAAGTATGGATGTTTTAGACAATCTTCAGAGGAAACTCTGCCTTTAGGTTCTGGAAATAGCATCTTCTTCAATAAATCTACTAATTATAGTGGTGCCTATAAGGATGGACATTGAAATTACTGTTTATATTTATTTTAGATTGTAATTAATCTCGCAATTCTTGTTTGCTCTCAGAATGGCCTTATAATCAGTTCCTTAGAAGGGTTATCTACCGGTTAAGAGTATGTAGAAGATTACTCCTGCACTAAACACATCGCATTTTTCATCGTAGAAGGGATCTCCTTCCTTGTATATTAATATTTCAGGAGCAACGAATCCAGGTGTTCCACATCTCTTAAATAGGATATCCTCATTGAGGAAACTGGCTAATCCAAAGTCTGCGATCACCACATCGGTATCATTATCTTTTTCTTTAAGTAGCAGGTTCTCTGGTTTCAAATCTCGATGGATGCACTTTTTTGAATGCAGATGGCAGAGTGCTTTCATTAAATTATACATTAATTTTTGGAGATTGGGAGCAGTCAATGGCTATGATTTGACTCTAGATAGTAATTCACCTCCTTTTAAAATATCCAATATAAAATAAATGGAATTTTAGGTTTCATAGACTTCATGCAGTCTTACTAGATTTTCTTGATTCAGTCTTCTCATCACCTTAATTTCATTTTCCAATGATTCCCTTCCTTTAAATTGTTCTAACATGAATTCTTTGTTAAATGCCTTGACAGCATAATTGATACCAGTAGATTTTTTAGTCGACAAATACACTTTAGCAAAACTTCCTTTGCCGATCATTTTAGTAACTCCGAATTCGTCATGGAAGGTGGATTGGAGACATCTGTAATTGAGAAGATTCTTGAAGGCAGTGAAATCGTCAAGTTTGAGGTCAATATACTTCCCATTTCGAGATAACCTAATGATGTTACCATGCTCATCATGTTTAATTATGTTCATCATGACAACTGTAATTTAGAGCTAATAAATTGTTTCTTTGTTGAGGTAATATAAATGCTCGTTTCCGAGCTAGATGGTTATTGGTCTCAACTGTTTTGATTTTTTGGCAATCTTATAACAATCCTACTGGAATACAATGTTGTCGTTCTATAGATTGATACAAGAATTACATCGTAAATGTCTTGATTCAGAGTCTGCCAAAGAGGCGGAGTCTTAGCCATCAGTTCTGGATTATCAAAAAACGAAGCGATTTCAGTATTCATAATGATATTTTATTAATTTATATTAATATTTATTATATATATGGGTGCAGCTTGTGCTAATGCCAAAATGAATTAGACAGTTCCTTTGATAAAAATTACGAATGGAGAAGATCAGACCGAAAAAAAATAAGAAGGCCAGTAATAATAGCAAAGAAGTACATCTTCTCGAGAACAAAACATTACTAAATTAAGCACACTTTCAAAATAAGTTTCAAACATTTCCTCAGACGGAGTGCCAGTTAGAAAGTAAACAACTTCGCGGATGTCCATTTCAGGCGAGGATAGAGAGAAGAAACCGAAGGTTCAAGGGAAAAACCAAGGCCAAGAGTAATTGCTAAAACAAAGAGAATTTATACTCGAGAAATTCCTGAATGATATTCAATTGTTGGACAAGCAGTTAATGTCAGACGTCATTCAGATGTTGAGATTCTTCTTGTCTCATTTGGAATAATCCAACATCTATTGGACCAAGTAATAAATTCAATACTATCATTAGAGTCTGGTTAATCAACAAAAATGATTACAGCATCGTCGTGGGATTCACCAACAACATAGGCGAATCCAGAAAAATAAGAATCTTGTACACCAAGCAAATCGAATTAGTGGCTAATCTACTGGACAACTATTTGTTTTTCTAACAATTCGCAAGTTATAAAATACACGATTTCAGTTTCAGATTGAACAAAAAACACAATAACTTCTACGTCTTTTCTGAATAAGAATATTGCGATGTGTCTTTAGAGAATATTTAATTGTAACCCGAAGATATCCAACCCTTATTGGAGTATCTCCTAAACACTATATAATATATGCATCAAAATTTCTATGTTCATTCAGGGTAATACATATTTGTAATTAAGAATTAAGCCATCCAACGTCTACATGATTTATCATAAATAAAAGGTATTTAAATTAGACTTGAGTTTTTCCGCTTTCAGATTCTCGAGAAGACTCATCAAAAATAAAATCAAAGATTTCAGAGCCAATCTAGTCAATGACTTAGAAGATATTGCTATCCTTATTATCAATTCCTTCTACAAAGGCTCGGAAATTAGATAACAATTAAAACAAAAGAACATTGATTTTGCCAACATCATTGAGTCCCTCTATCAGAAATAAAAGAATGTCATCGAATCCTACATCAAAGATATTATCCTATTACTCTACAGGAATAGATAATATCTCTATGATCTCAAAGCAACCGATTACGTTCAATTACTGAAATGCCATTCCACCCCTGAATTGAAAGATCTCATCCAAGATACCCCTAGCACCAGTAATAATAATAATAATAATTCTAACACTCATACCAAGAACGTACTATTTGAATACTCCAATAATAAAGTGGTCTTTTATCATTTGACATCCACTAGAAACCAAAAGTCATATACTTAATATGAATTGGTTGATCAAAATGGATAATAGATCAATATTATTAAAGGAAGTGCTTACATATAGGATAATAAATTTTATTTCGCATATGAAAACATGATTGGCATGATATCCATTAAGCTCAGTTCGGAATAGCTTGAAGATACCTTAGAGATGTTGCAGATATCACTCAGATAATACTTGGCAACAAAAGAATAGTAAAAGAAAGAGAGAATCGATTCTGCTTAAAAGAATTACCAACTGCAATTATAAATCAATCAACATAGTCCTACAACTTAGATTGAAGACTAATTCAAATTCAGAGATACTGCTCAGACTTAAAAATAACCTAATAAGAATTTCCATGATAGAATTTACTTTACTCCCTAAAATTTATAAGAAATATTCAGTATTATTGATGTTGAATAACGAAATTACATCACAGCCTAATAATTCTATGATTTCCTACAATAATAAACTGATTCCATCGACAACTCACTGCTTTAACAACTATTGTTTGATAAGATATAAGAAATCGTACTCTTCTTCTCTGATAAGAATTTGACTTTTCATGAATTCCTCTAAATATTTTCGTTTAGATCAAAATAACAATTGCCCATCTACAAGAAGATCGTTAAACCTTTGAAATAGGCTTAAAATGTAAAATCGTTTACGATTATTAACAATACTGTTCATTATTATGATGGTCAACATTTATATAATGATGACAACCAAATCGAAATAGAATACGACCTTAAATATCTTACCTGTAATCAAAACCAATTATTAATTATCGGCATCCAAGATGGTTGTCTATTAATAAATACCTAATACAATTCTATACAGACAGATGTGAAAATCATGTCTGAGTTTGGATTTTACAAATTCAATGATCTTTACTTCATTACACAACAAAATGAACTTATCTTGTATTCCCTAAAACAAAAAAGAAGTGTAAAACTCAATATCAATGGGATCTCATCATCTTGCAATTTAATTTATCATAAATATTTTATCCTCTATTTAAATGATTAGAATGTTTACAGAATATTTTTATCCTATGATAAATGGTGTATAACATCTTTCAATGTATTCGAAGTCTTATTTGAACATGGAAGGTTAGATTAAAAAATCAAATTGAAGTAAATAAGCACCAAACAAAATTCCAGTGATGAATTGATTGGAGTGTATTCCATCAATAAGGTTCATTATCCTATTACAAATCAAACTCCATCATTGTTCAGAATCCTATCGGTTTCAAAAGAACAATAAAACTATATCCTTATCTAAAGAATTGTACATGTCGAATTTGAATCATTTGATGAATGCTATTAGGTATGTAAATATTTGGATCCCTATTTATTGGATTTCTTTTTGAGCATGGAATAATACGATGGAAAATTGAGATTAAATTATATTATAGAAAATTGTGAGCTCATTTAAAAAGAAGACTGTAATTTTAATTTAATCAAGAGATGTGTTAAGAAATTAAATGAATTAAGATCCCATGATATCTTTGTTTAGGATATGCACCCTAATAATGTATTTATTACTCCAAATTCAGTTATTTTTGCTTCTCTTATATACAAGACCAATATTCCTAGTATTTATTAAGAAAAGTCTGTACCCTTTATGTCCTCATTAGAATATATGGAACCTAAGTCATTTTTGGCATTTACCTAAAATTTGACATAAAATTAGATCTTTATTAATCCCAGTAAGGCTAATATTTACAGTTTAGGATTAATATTTTTAAGGCTACTATCAAATTATCAAATTAAAAATACTAAAGAATAATAATTTTATTTGATGGAAATAAATTTGGCTCTTTAATAATTTTAATTCCCTAATTTAAAACCATTACTTGAAGAAATGCTAAAAGAGAATGAAGAATAAAGATATGATTCTTATTAATTAATATAATTTATTAGAAAATATTAAAAATTAAATTAAAAAGAATTGTTCTTTATTTCACAACCATTATAATTATTAGAATAATAACAATAAGCTTTATATGGGTATTAAAACAACACAATTTATTAGTATCAGCAAGTATTTAAAATTTACATGAACATTTTATCCACTAATTTGTAAGTCTTATGCGTTTAATCGAATGATGAAGGATAATTAATTCTATTAGTTAAATCATTAAATTAAAAAACATACAAATATTTGTTGCTATACATAACCTTATCCTTGAATCAATACGAATAGTAGCAACAACATTCAACCTTAATCTTTGAAGAATTAGTCAACTTCCAAAAATTTGCAGAAGAAGATTAAGATGAATATGACAACAACCAATTATAAATTATACAACAGAATTGTTAACATATCTAATCACCTCATGTGGTTACAAAAGAAGTGTAAGTTCCAATATTTGATTTACAAAATGTTAATGAATGTACATATTTGATAAATGGAGAAGAACTTTACTTTTTTGGATTTGGAATTACCAATGAAATAAGGCGAGTTGGATCCAGAGATTGCTTTGTATATATGCCTAAAAGAAACTTATTCAAAAAAGTTGGGTATAGAACGACTTATTATGAAGCTTAAGCCTTAGATTTTGGAGAATATTGGTTGCTACTAGAGAAAAATTCTAATCATAATAAAATTAGAATTCAGTCAATCACAAAGGCTTAATTTTAATGCACTGAAAGATTAATCAAATTAAAAAATAGTGAAAAAGTATTTTATTTTAAATACTTACAAAATGTTATCGCCATCTCAAATAACTTGTGTTGGTATATCAATATCGAATCATTTAAAGCATTTGAAATATCATGTGATAATATACCCTAATCAATAATCTCAATGCAAAACACCTAAAATAATACAATCTTAACATAGGATGGAGTATCAACATTGTAATTTGATGGTAATGTGTTAAAAATATATTGATTTATATTTTATATCAATGGTATTTGAATACTTATTTAATTGTATCTCTTGAAATGGGAGATTTACTTTTAGAATCCAGATCTATCATTTCCATTCTTATAATAGTAATTATTTTAATATACTATCATTATGTATATTGGTTATCTATACATCATAATAAGAATTTTTTATTAGAATTATTAATATTTATTAAATTGAATTCCTACTTTTAGGTTAATTTATCTTTAAATACACCATTAATCAAATAAAAAGAATAAACTAAATTTAATTTTAGATTCTTTATAGTTAAGATTATTAATATAATTCTATTTTATTAAAGTTTTCTATTGAAGGTTTGTGTTTGCTATTAGTTGTTTTTGATATTGATTGAAAGATTTAGCTGTGTTAAATACTGTTTTATGTTTTTTTCATTCAAAGTAACAGAACTATATAAATATACTATTAATCAAAGGATAAAGAATCTTATTTATCTTCTCTACCATTCTTGATTACTATCAAATGATTATCATTATTATTAATCCTGTGTTTAAATAAAAAATTTAAATTTATGAATTCTTCTATTATATAAACTTATAGCTATATAATATCCTTACATAATAGTCCCAAATTGAAGAAGATTTGAATTTATTAGATCAAAACGCTAATTTATAGATTTGATGACACTTATAAATTATTCCTAATAAGAAAATGGAAGATTATTAAAAGATAAAGTAAGGGATTGATATCATTCCTCTTGGATCTGATGCTTTATATATAATATCTGTTATGATAATAAAATACTTTATAATGTCAATCTAACTACTGAAGTTATTAATATAAATTTAATTATATAATAATGATTATATTTCTCTTTTATTATGCATATTCATAATTCATACAAGAAGGAATATCAATTTTGGAGAAAGGGATGAAGATATCATAAGATAGAGATTAGATATATTCGAATTGTCCAAAGATTTTGAATTCTATTTGTGATAATCGATTACCTTCTATATAGAAATAAGATTAAGAAATAATAGATTTTATTCAACTATAAGTAAGCTGTTATAAATAAAAAGGCTTAATAAGTGTTGGAGTAATTAGAGCCTGAATAACATACGCATTCGTATTATAATAAAAATATCAATAAATTATTTTAAGAAATAGTGTTATATGATCAAAGCGAAGAGTTTCTTTCATTTAAATTTGAATTTAGTTAATTTTATTAGAAAAAAGAATTATAGCAAATTTAGTATAAATATTACATAGACTTTAAAAATCGATCAGCTATTTTAATGAATTCTAAAAATAATAGTTTGTAAGAATTCAATACAACAATGTATATGAAATTTTCAGATTTTTATATACCTTCTAGAAGTAACTTTATTACTCAACAATTTGGATCACTTAATACTTTGTATCCTCCAGATGGTTTTAATATAAGGACTACAGAATAGAATGGATCTATTTACTTTACTAAACCAGTTTACTTAACTTAATTTTACGCATTTAGTTACAATATCAATTCCATAATTAGGATAAACTATAACAACTAAACTATTAAGATGGTTTCAATTCCCATGAACAAAAAGTGGATTCTTATACTTGGTCCAACTAACTAATTAATTAATAATATAACTGTTGACAAGAACATTCATATTGATTCAATTGCTATTAAAGTGTCGAAACAACCATATACAAAATAACAAATAAAAGCATTAGTAATTGAAAAGCTTTTAGAACAATATTATCTATTGCATTCAGAATCACTAATAAACACATTGAAAATAGAAGAAGATTAAAATTCTGATTAACCTAATAAGTAGAAAGTTGTTGATACTACTGACGATTTGTATTAATAAACAATAAAGGTATTTTTAGAATTTTTAGAAATAATTTTGGCTAGGATCAAACAAATAAAAAAATAAAAATAATACGAATCTTTGAGTTCTGATCAAATACAAGATATTTTATTAGATGTATGTAAGTATTTGATAATAAAAAGATTGAAAATGAGATGACATAAAATCAAGTCTTGATATTTTAGAGTTTGTTTTCTAATTTCATAATAGAGAAATATAATGAGAATGACATCATGTTAATGCACTAAAAGCTACTTTAGATAGACAAAGGATTATAAGATAAAAAAAAAGATTGAATTATAGTAATAAATTCATTTAAGTGAATCTTCATATTTATGATCTCTTAATAATTTAAATTTATTTTTATATGCCAAAAATGCAGACCATTGTTTGGTGAAAGGGTTTGCATTTAAGTCTTTTAGAGGTAATTAGAAGGTTGATTTTGACATTAGTTTCTTCTTTTCATTATCATAATAATTTTGTAATTTAGTTTCTGGTACTTTTATGAATTCCTCTTTTTGCAATGGGGATTCCTGCTTTTCATTTTAGTTCAATAAAATATTCAGAGATTAAGATTGTTATGATATATTTTAAGAAAATAACTTAACAGATCCTCTAACTTTTTTTGGTATCACAGGATTATAATATCCAACTGCAGGTTAGTTATTATCTGGTGTTTTTATCAATAAGTAATTTTTTTTAATAGGAGGAATAAAGTTAGATTAGATAGTTTATTTATGGGATGTTGACCAGGTTGAATAATTGGTTTTAGACATTTATGGTTATTGGATATCTTTAAAGAGGGTTTTGAGGAAAATAAAATTATTGGTTTCTTATTGTTGGGATGAATGATTGCTGAATCTTAAATAAATGGGTCTTTTTTTGACTTTGGATGGTTATGATTTTGGAGTAATGGAGAGACGCAGTTTGGATTTATTAAATTTAAATTAAGTTTTGTAGGTGGTTTTTGATTTGATGTCTTCTTGCTCGTTATCCATGATTCCAGTGATGAAATCATATTAGGATTTAGTCTCTAGTATTGATTAAAGGGATTATTTCATAAAAATTATTATGATTAATTCTCAATAAATAAAATATTAAATTAAAATCACTTATAAATGAATTTCACTTTTATGATAGATAATTGTTTATCTTCTTGTTAAATAACTTATAATGGACTCACTATATTAGATTATGCCAAGAGTGCAATAGAATATTTTGTAAAAAAGAGAACAAAGAATCCAGAAAACAAGTATGATCAATACCATCTTTTTTCGTCAAAGTAATTTTTTGTTCCTTACATATTGTGTATAGTTCTTCAATCTCAACATGGACAAATGACGTATGCCATTTTTTACAAAAACTCAAAACCATTCAACCATAGTTCGAAACTAACTTCAATTTGGATGAGTGTTTCCACAATTTAAACAAATTTAGAACTTTAAATGGTTATTTATATATATAATTAAATACAGGCACTGACAATCTTTATGGAGGAAGAGATGTCTTAAAAATTGAATCGGCTATCATATTTGTATTTACCAATCGAGAATACATGGGATCTGCTTTCCATTAATTGGTGAGATGGGACTATAGACTCCTTGTCTTTTTGTTACAACCCCCTGGGATTGAAGAAACCAATGCCATACCCATTTCAACCAATTGGCATCACCTTGCTGCATCTGTAGGTTAAGGAGTGTGTTTCGAAATTCAAGATTATAATGTTTTGTTCTAAATCTTAGATGATCCAAAATTAACTCCTCCTTAAATATCTCTTCAATTAAATCTTTTAGATTAATAATATAAACTTGATGAAATTCTATCGAATATTGAAAAAACTAAGATTGATTAACAATCTAGTCTGCCTTCTTATTTGGTAAGATCTACTTAAAAGCCAAATTAATCTTTTGCTTCAGTTCGTTTAAAATGTTAACCAAATATGACCATTTTCACAAAAGTATATTTGCCTGAATAATTCCCCTTCTCAGATTTCAACGTATTAATATTAATATAACAAATAGAATTATCCAGCTTACCCTGAGTATTTTGTTGATTTCAATGTATCATTTTAAGCAAAATTGCCCTAATAATTGCCTTATCAAGAAGTCTTCATAGAGAATACTTCTTTGTTGAAATTCGTGCAAGGGATATCTACAACAAAAAGCAAAATGTTGTAATTCCCAATCTATTATTTTGAAAGAAGAGATGAATAACAAGTATAATATTTAATTGGATTGTTTTTGTTCTAATAAAATTCAACAACGATGGAATTGCGATTGTATTATTTCTATTATTAATTAAGTTATTTTCCTAATTTTTTAAATTACTATGAACTATTAATGTAGTGTGGCAATTCAACAGATGAAACAAGAAGATTCGCTGAATAGAAATTTTTGCAATATCTTTCAACAATTCCCAATTATTATGCTCCATGCATTAGAAAAAATCAAAATGAATTAAACATTTAAGTAAATTAAGTTAAATATTGTATAAGATTCAAAGACAATTAATATTTTTGATAGATGAATAAAATCAATAATTGTATATGTAGAAAGTAAAGGCACATTAAGCAAGAGTTTAAAAGAATAAAAAATAAGTGGACGATGAAAATTATAAGAATAGACAATTGCATATTTCAAGAAAAAGCCAATGTTGTGCAGCATTCAGCGAAAATTATTAAGTGAAATTTCAAGATTAAATTAATTGTGAATTCAGACAAGTAACTTAATACTAAAAGGATGTCAATTTTCAAAGGTTTCTTCCTCAATTAGAAGTTCAATCATGTTTGCCATAGATGCCCTTAATATAGCCAACTCTTAGAAACATGTATTTGGATTCAGATGAAATGGAAATTCGATTAGAACCTCAATTTTGTGGAAACCCATGGAAATTACAAAGGAAAACATATAGGGATGGAGTAGAAATAAAGGTTTATTATTATTATTAAAAATAGAATGACTAAGAAGAACTATAATTAGAAGATATGATGCTAACGAAAATGGATTCTGAAAAGAAATCATAAACAAAAAATAGGAGGAAAGGATTTATGAGGTCAAAGGACATTCAAAATTGTAATCATAAATAAGTTATAATTGAATAATAAGAAATGGAAATAGAAGAAAATAAAACTGAATCATAATCCTAATCCTAATCCAAATCCAAATATGGTTCTGTCAAATTCAATCCTCATTTTTAAGTAATTATTTCTTCCATATAGGCTAAATTTAAATTGATTATCTAAACAAAATTGAATAATTCTGTATCCACAAACAATTGAAACTCTAAGTAAAAATTATTTTGCTTGTCTTTAAGTAGCTTTTTGTAATAAAAGCATAGTTATTATTTTAACTTAATTTTTGCCCTCAATATTTTTTTGTTTTTTTTGATAATTTAAATTATTGATGTTATACAAATACCTCTAGGAACATAAAATGCATTGTCCTTAATAATATATAATAAGGCTTCGCAGGATAGAGTGCTTAAGTTTTCGGTACTACCTCTGTTTCCAATAACATTTTTGGCCAAACACAATAATTTACTCCTCCAATAGGATAAACCTAAAGTTAAGGAATACTTGGGTAATAATCAAATTAACTCAATTAACCTCTCTCATATGGAGGTATGCCATAACAAACTACAAATTTATTATAATAGCCATAAGGTTAACAAATGGGAGCTTTAGGTCAATAAACCGCATAATTTGGTTAAGTTTAATAATCAGGGTATCTTGGATAGTAATCAAATATATAAGGAGGTTAGGTTGGATAGATATAATAACAACCATCCCTTTAACCGCAATAGTAATAATAACCTTAATAACAATAATAATAATAACCTTAAGTAAAATAGTATACAATTTTACAAATCAAAAATGAAACCCAGAAACACTTTGATAATCTATTAAAATCAATCATCAATAAAGAAAAAATTGAAAAGAATTAAAAAAATTTATAACTAATCGAAAAAAATTCTCTTAGAAATATTTAATAATAATAACAATAATAACCTCAAGCGAATCCCTCAATTGGATATGGAATGCCCTAACAATAATAACTATTAAAACCAATTTAAAAGGCCGATCCCAGAAATCATACAGCAAAGGTTGAAAAATATTATGGGGAGTGGAATAAAGGAATTTAAAGGATTTCTTAAAAATAGGGAGAAGCAATCAACCAATTGAATGAATTAAATCTCCTTTTAGCCTAATAGGAAACGTATTACGGTATAGTAATATTGTAATATAATTATTAGAGATCGATGAAGAGTCATTGATGGATTCTATAAAATAACTTGACAAAGAACTTAGTTAATTAGAACATAAGGTTGTAAACGTAGTTAAATTGTAAGAAAAAATTTTGGGATTAGAAAAAGAAGAAACTGAATGGGATCAAATTGTATGTAATTTAAGTGAATGTTTGACACTTTTAGAAATTTAGACTGTATTATACCTTAAATTTAGTGATTTTAGAAAGAAGTTGAAGATCAATTGCACCAAGCAGAAACACACCCAAAAGTATTAAATAAATGAAATGAATTTACTAATAATATTTCACATAAATTAATTATTAATACAATTATTAATACAATTATTTTGCATGTTCAATAAGGATAAAAGGATGAATTCTTAAATTTAGGGTCTTATAAAGGAATATTGAATAAATATTACAATTGATTTGATTGAAAAATGAAATTATATTATAGTAATATTTTATAATAATCGATAGTTTTTAGGTAGAAGCTAAAGTTTAAATATTTAAATCAATTTCGTAGTTTATAAAAGAATTATAATTACATTCTAAATTTATTCAATATTAATATTGTTTTGAATTAGGTTGTTTTGATATAGAACACACTAATAGTCTAATTGAAGGATCAATAAGTTATTCATAACTACGTGGCTCCTTTACCTCAAATCAACAATTGAATAAAAAGCACTGTTGAATCAGATTTTATTACCCTATTTAAAACTTTAATAAATGGAGTAGAAATAATTTCTCTCATAATTATGGTTTACTATAGATTAATGCAACCTTTCAGCCTTTTATTGTGGAGGAAACTATGAAAACCCATAATCAGATATTTTATCAGGTTATTTTAGAATATGATTAATGACTATGAAAACAAAACAAAAATATAAGTTAAAATCAAGCAATTAAACAAAGGATTAAATAGAAATTAAGAGTAAATTTATTGATTTTATTTAATTAAAATAATAATATAATCAAAGAAATAAATATTATTTAATCTAAAAATAAATATTTAAGATTGCTTCTAACAAATACTGCAAAAGATGCAAATAATTAATTCTCTGTTATTTAGGTAGATTTATAGAAAATAACTCAAGAATTAGAGAACACATAACGATTAGAATTTTAGGAGTAGATTGGCTGAATAAATCTAAAATTTATATGTTGTAAATATATATATATGAGGGTATGTTAAAGTAGTATACATTATAATTATTGACTATTTTTTATTTAATTTCGTATCACATTTTTTTTGAATTCGTAAAACAATATTCAATGGAGAATTATGAAAATTATTTAATGTAAATTACTTTTTTGAATAGAGAATTTAATAATGTATTTTAATTTTCTGTTTCATAAGATAAAGTATAATTACAGGATATGAATTTTATTTTTTTGTTTTTGTAATGAATTAACTGGCTTAGGGTATTTATTGTATAAATCTAGGTATTTCAAAGCTTGATATCTTTGGTTAGACAATTACTTTAAAAATGAATAAGGATAACTATTACAAGACCTTCTTTGGAGGTGTTGTTTCCATCTTGCTTTTCTTAATAATCATCATGTTTTTTTCATCGAGCATTAAGTCATTTTTCAATAAAGAAACCCTTGTTGCCACCGTTCTAACTAATTTTGAAGAAATACCATCACAATCAATTATAGATGATGCAACAATTTTGTTCGCTATTTAAATTGATTAAGAGAACTTTTTGTCAAGACCATTTTTTGACATTGAAGTTCTTTAAGTATCTGAAACAAGACAAACTAATGGGAGTAAAATAAGAGAAGAGCAATAAATTTAATTAGTCCCTTGCACAGTTGAAAGATTTACTAAAATATTCGACAAATATAATTAGAACATCAGCTAAACTTATGCAGAGTTGAACCTAGATAATTTTCTGTGTTTCAAGTATTATAAGTTAAAATAATTAGAAATAATGCCACTTTCATTTTAGAAGGCACTCATTCAAGTAATATAATATATAAATTTGAAAGGCTTATAATTCTCTTATCTCAAAATATCTATTAAGAAATGCAATTCAACGTAAATGTGTGCAAGTTAAGATGAAAGGGACGCTGAAGTAAAATTAAATGGATCTTTCAAAATTAAATTATATACAGTTAATAAAGTTTATATATATACTAAATATAGATTTTAAATCCGTACAATCCAAGTGAAAACTATTTGCAGACTTATATAGACGATTCCTTTTATTTTAATTTTCTACCTTCGATAATCAGCAAGTCAGCTAACTTATTTCTGAAACAATATTAAGTCGAAAGTGATCAAAGTTTAACTCCATTTCAATCCATAACTTCGGAAAAGTTTTATATCCTTGATCAATCAGAAATAAGAGAGAGAGTAGAATTTTACAAAGAAGGTAATTTAGAAGTTGCTTCCATTTTCTTAAGAAAAAGTCCTTACAAAACTTAAATCTACAGAAGTTATCTAAAAATTGACAATCTTCTTTCTAATTTGGGTGGAATGCAGTAAATTCTCTTCTTCTTTTTAGGTCTTCTTTTAGCATTATATAACAGATTTCAACGTAATTTTGTATGATCATTTTAGTGCTCATCGAATTGGCCAATAAACTATATGAATTTATGTTAGTAGAAAAGTAAGCTAAGAAAATGCACGAAAATAATCTTAATCTTGTCAATCAGTTAATTACTGAAAGATAATATCTTGATTCTAAAGCGTCTGAACATGATGCTAAAATTTAATTACTAAATCCAAGTTAAATTAATTAAAAAGAAAATAATTCTAAATTAAAATTCGAAGATTAATAGCAAATAATATATAAGGCAAAACGTTAAGCCAAATATGCAAAAAAATCTACTAAATTTTATGATGAAGAATCAAAGAAGGCCTATCGCAGTCATATCAGTAATGGATTAGAGTACTTCTAATCTTAGATAAATATTTTAATAAGAAGGGCAAAACCTATAAAATTGAGTTTCTAATTGCTCATGAATTATGTCTCTTGTTAGATATTGTTTCGAAATAAAAGGAAGATAATTCTAATGAATAAAGCGATGTAGTTATAATTGATCTTATGTAGGAATCAATTATCAAGTCAAATTGATCTTTTTAATATTTTGACTAAATTAAATGAGATAGATAAATTGAAGGAAGTGCTATTAACATCCGATTAACAACTGTTATTCGACTTTACACCAAAACCTATCATATCTTTAGATCATAAGGATATCAAGATAGATAGATTTCTAATTGAGTAAAATTCGAGATGTGATTTCGATTTAGAGTAAGGATATTCTATTAAAATACAAGAATTAAATAAAAAGAGAAAGCCATCAAAGACGCTGAAACTCCCTAAAAAAGTCTGCATCTTAAAGCTGATTCTTAATTATATGAACGCATTTACAAAGTAACAATCTTAGTTACATGTTATAGGCTTATGATAAAGTCTTAAATGGTTTAACAGTTTCAAATTAATATGAGCAATACATAAATAATTAGTTGATCAATTAACTAGGAGCAGAAGTATAAACCATTTTTAAACTTTCTAAACTTATTGATTTCTCTGTTTCATTTTCTAGAACTTTTAGAAGAAAAGGGCAGATATTTCAATAGGAAAGGCTTGACCCTGAGGCGTTATAAATCTGATTATATAAATCGTGAATAAATTATGAACTTAAAATATATTGTTTCTCTATTGTGATTAGTATATTATATGTTTAGAAACAACAAAGTCGGTAAGATTGTAAAAAAGAATACGTATATTGAATGTAATATAATGAATATATAAGAATGTTATATTCATTTGTATTACTTTAAATTTATTTTTTATGTTCTGGCACTTAATGGTGGATTTTTATTTCCAAGAGATACTTGATCATTCTTCGATTCAGAGTTAATGAAAAGTTTTTTGTAACTATTCAAAATGCCCTTGCTTACCGCTGCTTAAAATTAAGCATTATCATTAGTAAGCTTACGAGAACTTTTGACTTGTACTTTGGAATTAAATACTTCCTACATAGTTATTTCTTTCTCTATTTTTAAATTTTTTTTATTCTCTCTTATTGGATTAGACTCATTGTAAAGATTGAATTCTCTAACAAAGTTAACCTCAATATTATCATTATTCATATTAATTTATGGTGATATTTTTTTGTAAAAACTCCCTTTCATAATTTTGTTGGTGTCCTAAAATTCTCTTGAGTTCATTTTAATCAATCTTTGAGAAGAAAACTTAGTTGGTTGATCTTCTAATAATGTAATTTGAATGAATACTTATTTTTTCGTGTTAATCAGTTGGAGAAAGTTATCGAAGTGACTAAAGCTATTTGTTGCTAATGCTAGAATCCTGTTGAGTAGAGCAAGTGAGACTTTAGAAATTCTTTCTGCTCGCCAGGAAGCTGTATTATTGCAAGTCAATGTTGGGCTTAATGGATACCTTGTTTCTTATTTGATTGGTTTCTTTTTTTGCAGATTAATTTCTCATTTTATTTAATAAAACTATTTTAAACTTAATCACATATAAATTGGAATAATAATTAATTCGAAAATTTAGACACGACTTTTTAAATGGATACGGGTATTTAGATAGTTTGGAATTTTAGAATTGAATACATGTATAAATTAGAGCATTTTAATAATATTTGAAATTTTTCATTATTAAAAATTTGATTGATTGATGGATATCTAATATTGAAAATATATTAATAATTATTTAACGATGAATAGACACAAAAAATAATTAAGTTTACCTGGTTAGTAATTACCTGTAATATTGGAAAAAAAGACTGCCAATAGAACTTAAACTCATATGGATCCACTCAGTAAAAGTCCAGAAATAAAAAAACTGGAGGCATTATTATTGGAGACGTATACAAAGAAATAAAAAATATCACAAAAATTTTATCTCTTTAAACCGTTACATTGAATGTTTGACTCATAATTTTATATTATTAATGAATAAAGTTGAATTGCCATCGAATTTGCAAATCTCAAATTTTTTGTAAAATGAAATACAAAAAACTGATAAATATGTTAAATAGCATGTAACAGAGTTGATTTAATTTTAATTTTAGGAAAAAGAACTCAATACTCTGTCAAAATACTAAAAAATAATATCATAAAACTGTCAATCCAATAAAGAGAAACTATCTCAATTATTTGTAAAATAATTTGAACTTGATTAACATCTAAAACAAAAAAATAATCAAGTAATCTATTCGTGTTAGGTTTAGTTAAAAAAGAAGAGATACATCAATGAGTAAAGTGGTCTTTAAGAACAAAAAGAAAAAAATTATTTATAATAATTGGATTCTTATTGGAGCTATCAACAAAACTTTTATCCAAATATTGACTATATGTCTGACTCAGTTGACAAATCTCGGCAATAATTAATTCAATATTACGAGCATAAATTATCTCTAGAAGATAACTAATTAGAAAGGAATTAAATAAAATAAAAAATATTTTCATTAAAAGAGGCCTAAGTATTCATCAGCTATACTTTTTGTAGATTAAATATGATAAATGTAAAAGCATTGAAGGTAGAATTAAGAAAGCAGAATAATTAAGAACGGAGAGATTTGACACTTCAGTAGAAAAAATAAAAAAACATGAAAAGCATATAATGGATGTGATATATCAGAACTAAATGTTAAGCGAAAGAAAGTCTCATTATTTTAAAGATAAACTTCATAGACTAGAGGAGAAACTATGTTAATCTGAATTAGAATAAGGAAAGAAAAGATTAGATTAAGTTCAAAAAGCCTTCTAAAAAGATAATCATAGATTATAAGTTTATAAGTATACAATAATAGGTAAAAGTAAATTGTGAGAAAATTAATCAGCATAATGATTCAATTCATGAGGGTCATTTAGAGAATAAATTGAATAAAATTAACTCTTTGGAAGAAATTCGACAGATCGTAAAAAAGGGTAGACTATAAATACGACAGCAATATGTAATAATAGAAGAACGAAATTGTGTAATAGATAGATGACCTTAGAAATTCCTCTTTGCAGTCAAGCATTTATTAAAGTTAATTGCTTTATTATTGATTTTATAAAATTTAAATAAAATATGAAACCATAAAAGAGCATCATCAAAGAACTGAAAACTTACTAACAGGATCTTTACAAAACAGGAAGAGAAGGGAGATAATTTAGTATCAATGATTTTCCGAATCTTTCAAGAAAACCCGTAGAATGGACTGATTGTGATTAGTTCATTAAACTTCGGCAAATGAAATGTGATAAGAAATTAGCCATCAGACTTTGTTAATAACACAAGATCCATAGATCTGATTAACAATTTTTTGATACGTTACATAATGTGAATATGGAAAATGCTGGTTATAAGAAGATCTAAAGCGTAAATATTAATCTCATATAGTCAACTTCTTTTCTATTAAGATAGATTAGATAAAATCAATTTATTAAACAAAAATATAGAATGGAATTCTAAGAGACTCAAATTGACAACAAAATGTCTTCAATTTTGGATGATTCGTTTTAGAAATTTTAAAAATCTTTAGATAAACATTTGGAAATAGATAAAGATTAATCACATAAATTTAATTTAAAATATATGACCAAAGCGGAATTATATTCAAAGTTGTAGCAATTGTAATTTATATCAAAATTTAAGAAATGTAATTCCCAAATAAAATCTATCCATGGATCATTTACCTTCTAGCAATTCCACTAATTGCTTAAATTTGGTCATCCCTTCAGCAAATTCAGTAAAAACCTTTACTATTTAAGTTACATATTTCCCAAACTGAACGTAAATTCTCAAAACCCTTTCTTCCATATTCTGGTATAAGTAAAAATAGAGGTTCCAATGTTAGCATTAAACAACAGTTTACAAAATTGTAAAATAATCAACTTAACATTCCGTCATTTAAGTTGATCAAATAAAATAAGTTAGGCAGGGCATCATTCAATCCTCAAGTCGATGTTGCTAAAGGAATTAAAAGCATGCACCACATTGGACATTTAAATGATGTGCCAGAGTTAAAAAAATAACATAGAAGACACTTTACAAATTATGATATAAACATAATCAACTTTTAATGAGTTAGTTGAATTAATCATTGATTCTTTCTATAAATATCAAATTAAAATTATAAACACTTAAGAATAATTAATTTAACAATCTTTGTAAATATGAAAATCCAAAGAAGAAGCCTAGCCAAAGAAATCAAAGCTCAACGTCCCTTATTATTTAAGTATTATTTAATATTATAAAGTTAATCAGGTGTTTCTCCCATATGCACAAAATTGTATTCGTAAAAATTAAACGATTTCAAAAATGTTGAATCCTACGTCAAACTTCGATCAATGAAATGTGATAAGAGTATATCGTTGTTAAATTGTTCTAAATAAATATGTAGAATAGATGAACAGATGCCTTAGGTTAAACGTATTACTCAAGCAAGAATTAATAATCCTAATGAAGTATGACTTTTTAATCTATATTTAGTCCAGAATACTTACTAGATAAGTGATAAAAGATTGTTTAGAGAAAAGAAAAAGAAGATTTGAAAGCACAGATGAATCATTCAAAAATTTATATCTCCTCTAAGATAAATCGGCTGAGTAATACTAAAATTATCTCAGCAAACATATTGAAGATTCTATACAGTTAAAGGAATCTATCTCCTTTAATTTGGATAGACAATCAAAATAATAACTTTACTTCAAGTTAAAAGATCTGTATTAATTATATTATTAATCCTTAGAAATAAAAATTTAAATGCCTATTAAAAATAAGACTACAGCTATCCATAAAAATTTAATCAAATGGAAGTATTAATAATCATAAATCTAGATAACATTACGTAGTACTGTTGAACCAAGCATTACAGATATCTCTCCCTTAACATTTGTGAAGAAATAGAAAATACAAAAATTAAGGATAAGCTGAAATAGTTGGTTTCCCCTTAGAATTTAGAATCAAATCATAGAAAAAGACAACTAACCCTTCCTTACTTCTCGAAAAACCAGCTTAACTTAAGATTAAACTAAATTAATCATATTAATTCAGATAGTTAAAATCTGTCATCAGCTTAAACAAGCAATATTAATTCATTGATTAGAAATAAATCTTAGCTCTATAGCAGAGAGATAAAGAGAATTCACATTCAAAGTGAATGTTGATTAATTAATTTATTTAGATTTTTGTTATTTTTTATGAATAAATATCAATTGATTTAAAAATTAACATGATAAGTAAACTTAAATCAAAATTCTGATTAATAATTTGTCTAAACACTTTCCAAATAAACTCACCATATTATTACAATTATTATATAAAGTAAATTCGATAACTAGGTTACATAGAAAATTTTTAATCTTTCAATTATTGAAAGAATATCTATCTAATTGGTGTGTTCAATATTTACAATTTATTTTTATAAAAGTAAACGACTCTAATTTAAAGTTCTTAATCTTCCCATCCTATCTAATGAATCTTAAAATACTCTTATTGTTCAAGTAACCATAATTTTCTCTAATGTAAACTAAGGTTTGATATTCCTAATTGCTTAAATAGAATGCTTTTTGGAAGTATAATTTAAATTACTTGAATTTCAAAAGCCCAATTTCAAAAATTCAACTTGAGATTTATTAATGTTGATACTTCTTTTTGAATTTGCAAGTTTAATTCAATTCTATTTGATCACATTAAAAGAACACAAAATTATAGGATTCCCTCGTATATTTGCAAATTCACAACACTATTGACACAAAAACTCCAAATTTTAATTGAATTGCATATATAAAACTAAGTAGTACAAAGATATTATTTTGTTCTTCGAATAATACAACTACTGAATCCAATATATAATTTCACTTTTAATGAGTATGCATTTAGTATAAATTTTTCAGAGTCAGAATTTCTTTCTATTAAATGTCTATTAATTTTTTCAATCGAACTTTAGAGTTTAGAGTGATATCATTTTTTTTGCTTTTAATATCACTAATTCTAGATAAGATCTAAATATTTGTTTTTATATTATTTTTACTCAGAAATAAAATAGTCTTCAAATGAAATAGATACACATTTATATAGACATTTTAATATTGATTAGATTTATAATAATTTAAAGAAAAATAGGAAATAATTTATTTCTTAAGTAGAATAAATGTTTCAATTATGATTTGATTGAACTTAAATATATGTGTGTTTTATGAAATCAAATATCTTATTCGATGAGTTCGTCATTAGTTCCTTCTTCTTATTATTCTTTTTTAAAACAATTATCTTATTCTATCGATTGAATAATTTAATTTATGTTTTCTATTGCCTATTCATATTTAAAGAGGACTAATGGTTAGTTTTTCTTTTGTTTAAGAATAGTACTAATTTCATTTTTGAAATCATCCAATTCTCTAAGCACTTTTATAATGATATTTTGATTACTTAGATTACTCTGATTCCCTTCATCTTCGAATTCATGAAAAGGATTAGGTTATTGTTATTAGGAAATATCCAATAGAGATGGTATTCTGGATTCGGTTGTAGACTCTGTTTTGAAATTTTAGAAGTCCTCTCTCATTTAAACTTCGTCAAAATTCTCTGTGAATTCTGTTCCTCCATTCTAGATTTTCAGCAAATTCTTCATGCTATTTTTGAGAAACCAAAGCGATTTGATTTATAATTCATAAATCAAGGTAGAACTTTTGAAACTCAAGAATTTTTTTAAATAGTAATTGTAACACAAGAGATTTGAAATGTCAAAAAGAGGAGTCAGAATTTTTGTTATCAATTATTCTATTGTAAATGCTAATGGCACAACTTTAGTAAAGTATATTAGAGAATCATCCTCATTTTAAATAAGAAACTCCATTTAAGTCATATCGACAGGAACTACTAAATTAGGCATCATTTCCTCAATTTCATAATTTGTCATAAATTTCAGGTTTAAGTACAACGTTTTTACCACATTTGATTCCTATTTACTCATTGTATATAATGGAATGCATGGACCTAAATTTCTCCATATTCTCATTGATTACCTCCTTTCACTTGCTCTTCTAACAACTCCCAAAGTGCTTTACTTATGTAATGAGCTTAATTGCGCTTATCAACTTTTAGAATTTACTCCTATGAGTTTTGTTGTATAATTATTGGCTGAAAGTCAAACTCTCTCTTAAAATTATTCAAAATGCTATTTAATTGCACTTGTTCCTCTTAGCAAATGCTAAACTTAATGCAAAAATTCGTACCAAAGAGAATAGTTATCAATTTTAGAGAAGTTAGGATTACAATTACACAATTCATCCTGAAATTATTCATACCTAATCATTAATATACTAAATTACCATTTCTAACAAATAACAAATATTTATGGACCTGATAGATCATTTCCCACGCCAAGAATTTGATCAATTAAACTCATTAATTTTTATATTATAACACATAATTTTTTTTCATTATTTAACATTTCTTATATAAAACATTTCATCTTACAACCATAGATATAAATGACAACAAATATATTATTAGTCTCTTTCATAGAAAAGAATCAGTACTGACCATTTATTATTCCCTTATTTTCGCATTGAAAGTCAATCAGTATTATTTATGTAAGACTCTAATCACATCTTTATTTGATTTTTTCAGTATGTTCAACTTTGCACATCTCAGATTAAATATTATATCATATGAAATTTGCATCTAAATAAAATGAATTATTAATAATAGTATGCTTTTGCTTTTGTAAGAAACATCAAATACATAATAAAAAAAGCTCAGCCTCTAAAGAATTTTTCAATTTCTAATTTCATAAATAATTTAGTTTGAATTTTTGATTTCAACCTATTCTCAAACCTTGTCAAATTCAATGATTTTTATTTAAATTTCCTAAAATTATGATTCCTTTGGAGGAAAAACCATAAACCTAATTCTTTTATGTTTAGAGTATCATTAATTTAAAGAATATAGGAGTGAACATAACCAAAATCAATTTTCTTAGAAAATTAGATAATTAATCATATTGGTTATATTCACATATAATTGAAGTCTATTGATAATGAAAATGAGTTTTCTTTTATTAGTATTTTCTGGATTAATAAAAATTTACTTTAAATTTTAAAATGATATCTTTTGAACTATTGAATTGCTAAATTGTTGAATTACTATCTACTTGTTTGTTAAAATTGATGATTAAATTATTGAATAAGTAATTGATAATTATTACAAGTCTATGTTTGAAAAATCTGATAGTTATAGGAATCCATTACAAATCGTAAAGTTCTCCTATAAAAGAGAAGTTGGTGATTTTTATTGAATTTAAAGTAGAAGCTGCAGTCTTAATAAATAATATCACTAATAATTTTTATTACTAATCTGTGATTTATAAGTCATTCGCCAACTTGTAAAATGATTCTCTATTAAATTGAGCAAAATATTAAAGAATCATCTAAGTGAAAAGTTAGATTCTGATAAACAATTTCAGAACATATCAAATTTAGTTCAAGAGTAACTTAATTTTCCTATTTGGTATCAATATCAATTTATTAAAAAACTAATCCAAAAAATGAATTATAATATAAATTGGAATCTGAATTAAACCCCAAACATTAATTACTATAATCCCAATAATTAGAATTTTAAAATATTGGATTAATTAAGAAAATTTCTGCTTAATCTCTTTTTCTACATAAATTACAATTAGGAGGACATCGAATGCATTAGTTATTATATAAACTAATGATTCTTTAATTCACTTCCAAAGGACATCTAATACATATATTTTGACCATTTGATCTTACACATTCCAAACAAAGAGTTGGACATTAAGGTATGCATTATTTATTTTAAAGGTCAAATCCTTGAACACAATCAAGACAAACTATTTCAAAATCCTGTATTTCTGAACTTTAGCTAAATTCAGTAAAATCGTGACTCATATCATAGGATTAGATTGCAGCATAATAAAATGATCTTACTTATTATTTCCAGTTATCTTGAGATATCTTATCTTAGTGATAAAAAGTCTTGCAATGAAGTTCAGAAGGACAAATTTGACAATTCCAAATATTCTACTAGCATAATACCCTTGTTCGCATTAATAGCATTCGTATTTTTCTTTAAATTTATTATATAAGCAGTTTGTACAAAATGCAATATCACTTTAACACCCATTTGTTTATCATAATCTGAGTCCTTATCTACAATGCAATAAGTGCTAAACCAAGTAACCCTCTATAGAAATTTTTTCTCCATAATTATTATCAACTTTACATATATTCCGCTCATAGTCATATTAATATTAATATTTTTCTTCTCATCTTGAGCATTTAATGTCTGTAGAATTATAAGATGGTTGAAATTAGTAATCCAGAGTAGTGAATGTCATTTTATAAATTTATTTAACCTTAATTTGACAGCGTATTGGCAGTTATTGATTTCGTTAATCTCACAATTTTAAGCATCATTTGAAATGAAATATTTGCTATTATCTAAACATTTCAAACATCTAAGGAAATATTTTTGGTATCGGAATTTTAATCTTCAATACATTCTTAACAAAACTATCCACATATTCTGCATCTTATATCAACATAATTAAAAGGGATATTGAATTATTAATAGTTAGTACCTCCCACACTTCTTATTAATTACATCTTAACTAACTTCATCTTGAAAACATTCATCGCAAATAGAAGGGCATATTACACATTAATTATTTGATAATTAAAAGTTCTTGTGGCATTAACGACAAACTGAATTGTCATGACAATTTAGGCAATTAACAGGGCATCATTTGCAATTGTTGTCAACCAAAATAAAAGTAGACTTACATTAAAAGTACACTTAATATCCTAAATGAATAGCGCTGATATTGGTGTTAATACTTTTTTCTTAATTGCTTAAAAAGTTTTGAACACCTATTTGAAGTTCTAGTTTACATATTTCTTTTATAATAAAAACCATCATAATCTATGAGATCTCCATCCATCTATTAATAGGCTGAATCAAGTCTTAGTTCATTTCGCGTCATATCCATCGTACATACTGGTTTAAGGTGCCAAGTCATTAGTATTATATAACAATCAAGACTGTAATATGATTTTACTAATAAAAGGGACTTAAATTAATTTGTTTATTTATTACCATTATATACAAATAATATTATTGTTATCCTTTATTAAGAAGTATCCAAAATTACAATACTCAAAATAATTATTATTGTTTATTTATCAAATTGTAATTTCTGGGGATGCCTAAAATTAATCTGAACATATTTCTCTATTTGAAATATCAATATAATTAATTTGACGTTGCACTCTTTAGTTTCGCTTAAGAATTATCAGAATGAAAATGCAGAACAACATGTACATTCTTTAGATTCTGGCCCATCGCATGATTTGCATGAATTATGGCATTCTATCATATATAATTAATCAATTACGTTGGTAGTCTTGAATATTAAAATCTTAATCAAATCCAGTCAAGAATTCTAAATAGGCTAATGATCCTTCAAAATAAGGAGATAAAGTAAATTTATCTCCTCCAATATACATATAATTTAATGTGTTTGAAAACTAGTTTCTATCTGAGTCAAACTTATAATTATGAGTTGTAGGCTCACTTTGTAAATCAAACCATAGTGTAGTTTATGTTCTTTCACTATTAAGTTATAAGAATTTATAGGAGTTTAAAAATGAACCATCATATTCAAACTTCTATGGATATTGATAATGATAGTCTAGATTAGAATAGAATTTAAATTCTAAATATTTAAATTAATATTGTATCTTAGAAATAAAGTTTTATCTCCGTTATTTCCGTTTCCATTTTAATATTACTTATTAATTGTCATTCTTAATATCTACATTTAAGCAGATATAAAATCTTACTAAAATCTATTTTAATCCATCCTCTAACAACATAATGTTAATCAATTAGCTAAGCTTCTAAATGAATGTAATCAGTTCCATATAATCTATATATATACCATCAACTAGTTTTATTTGCTTCATTTTTACAACCTATTTTGGAATTGTACAAGCACTAGTTATATAATCATATAAATTCTTTTCCTGTTGTTTATTATAAATAATCAACTTTGATAATAGTCCTTGGAATGGGGCAGATGATTGTTTTGTAAAACTCTATGTTTAATATTTTAATTACATCCTTTCCGAAAATTGCAATACTTCATTTTTACTCAATTTTATATATATATTTAATTATCTAAATGTTTGTAAATTCACTCAACTAATATCAATTCTAAAATTTTTTTCACATTTAAAAAGTCAATAAAGGTTTTGAATATAAATTCATAAACATACACAATAAAATTTCATATTCATATTCAAAATTTGGGACCAGCATTAATAACTTCTTATGTAGCCTTATCTTCATATTTTTTGAAGTTAATCTAAAATTTCTCTGCCAATTCAAGAACTTATTTATCGAATTCTTCAGGATTTCTAAAATAAATTAAATATTTTACTTCCATGTATTCTTTGGGTTCAAGATTTATGTTGGAATGTTTTTAGCAGTTTTGGGAATAGCAAAATTGAAAATTGGGAAGTTTTCAAATTCTGCATCCTTTAATTCTCCGCTGTGGATCAAGTCAATGATTCCTCTGGTATATTTTAATGACATTCTTTAACCAACTCCATATTTACCACCAGACCAGCCAGTGTTGATCAACCAAACCTTGGTATCGTATTTCTTGATCTTTTCAGCCAACATATTGGCATAGAGAGTAGGATGGAGAGCCAAAAATGCTTCTCCAAAGCATGCTGAAAAGGTAGCTTATGGCTCTTTGACACCAACTTCAGTTCCGGCAACTTTTGCAGTATATCCAGAAATAAAATGATACATGGCTTATTCTGGTGTCAACATAGAGACTGGAGGTAAAACACCATAAGCATCACATGTCAAAAAGAAAATATTCTTGGGATGGCCTCCTTAAGCTGGGAATTTAGCTCCTGGAATATAATCTAATGGGTAGCTGACTCTTGTGTTTTCTGTAATTGAAATATTTGTGTAATCCACTTCCCTTTTTTCTTCTGAATAATATTCAATATTCTCCAAAACAGCACCAAATCTAACTGCATTATAGATTTCTGGCTCTTTTTCCTTTGAGAGGTCAACACATTTTGCATAACAACCTCCTTCAATATTGAAGATGCCATTATCAGACCAGGCATGTTCATCATCTCCAATAAGTCTTCTCTTTGGATCAGCGCTGAGGGTTGTTTTACCTGTGCCACTCAATCCAAATAATAAGGTAACATCTCCGTTTTCTCCTTCATTGGCAGAACTATGTAATGTGAGTATTCCTTATTTTGGGAATAAATAATGAGTGACTCCAAACACTCCTTTCTTCATTTCACCAGCATATTAAGTTCCTAAAATGACCATTTTTCTTTCAGTCAAATTAACAGCAACACAGCCTTCTGATTTGATTCCTTCAATGGGTTTCTAAATTGTTTATGGACCAGCATTGAAAATGTAAAAATCAACATCTCCGCTGAAATCCTTCTTTAGTTCCTCGTCTGTTGGTCTAATCAGCATATTCTTCATGAACAATGCATGATAAGGTCGAGTGCAAAATACTCTAATTCTTAATCTATAATTAACATCCCATCCAGCATATCCATCTATAATGAACAACTAAATGATTAAAATCAAATGGTTACTTTTTCTTTGTTATTTAAATACTCAAGAGCAATCTTTTCAACTTCATTGTATGAGTCTTGGCTTAAACCAATGTTTACATCACCCCACCAAACATCTCTTTCTGTGACTTCATCCTTTATGATTCTCTTATCCTTAGGAACACGACTAAATCATAGAATTATATTTATACCCGCATTTCTTTCCTGAGTATGCAACTAAAGCTCCAGTGTTATTGATGGAATCTGGTCTTACTGTTGGATCCTCGCTTTATGGCTATGACATTGAGAGCTCATAAATAAGTGGAACACTTGGGTTTCTGTACACTGTCGCATTGCGAAGTCCCCATTTTGTTAAGAATTCTTAGACTTAGATTGTTTGATTCTCCATAATTAATGAATTTTATTTATGACGATTTCCTTTCTATAATTAGAACATAAATATTACGTATTTATATAAGAATTCTTAATAATCCTAATATAATACGTAATCAGATGCTCAAACAACACACTTTTAGAAACATCATTTTTTAATAACAATTAATTATTTGATGACGAACCATCATGATAACTAATGCTTGTAAAATAATGTTATTGCTTAAATTACAATATTTCAATATAAATGAGTTCTTATTTTTCTACTGTTCTATAATGTCAAACCTTTATTCTAGCTTTATTATCCCTATAATAAATCAAGGCAATGTAAATCTAAAAAGAAATGGGTTTATATTTCCTTTAATTAGATGGGATAATATTATAATATTTAAACATAGTATAAACATTCATACATCCAAAAGATTGAATACTCTTCTCATACTTTAATTGCTTGCTTTATTAAAACTATTTTGCGATCTAAAAAAGAATCTAATTTTAAAATTCCATTTATGTTTTATATATATAAATTTTATATAAATTTATATAACCTGAATTAACCATGAAGTTTTCCATTTAAACACTATGAGGTTGATAGATTTTAAATATTGATCTAAATTCAAATATATAAGTATCATTCAATTATAATTTTGATTGGAATTTGATTATAAAGCATAAATAAAATTATAATCAAATTTCATATGTTCTAATTAATAAATATTATAAATATATTATGCTCTAGACTTCTGTTATCATTAGTTCTACTCCATCATATATTGAACGATTTTCTCCATTTATTTGTGCCTGTCCTATATGTCCATGCATTACATGTTTATAACCTTGCGAATAAGCTAATGAATATAGTATTATTTATTGTGAAGATGATTGGTCTAATTGGGGTTAAGTGCATTTTGAAGTTAAGGAAGTATCCAAATTCATGTAAAGGTAATTCAATAATTGTTAAAAAAGAGATTTATTTGTCCTCCTTCTAAGCGATCTCTTGAACTTGTAGATTAAAGAAAATTTTCAGAAGTTCATATTAAAGTAGAAAAACCTTACAAATTCTCCTTTTTATGCTTTTAAAGACCAGAAATGTTAATTTACTAAAGAGGATAGTATATTGGGAAAGTGATGGAGGAACTGTAATGGACAATAATCAAATGTACGTTTTATAAAGTAAAACCTCAAATAATCTAATTAGTTAATGTGCTTCGATAAAAACAACGCTTTGCTTTACACTATTAGTGCTAGTTGTTGTTAGCCAGGATTATTTTGCATGCTACCTTGTTAATCTTGCGCAGAAATTGAATTTGAAATTAAGGATAGAAATGATTAGAAAGTTGGGAAGATATGCCATTTATTTGGGGGGTTTCGAAGAGAATGGTGTACTAAATCAGATACATACGGAATAAATTTTCCTGAATTTGCTACAATAGAAGAGAAAATTATACTTATCATGGCTGGGATATTTATTGATTATGCATAATTTTAAAATTATTGAAATTTATTATACTTACTAATTAATTGTCAATTTTTAGATTTCAGTTTGTTTTTCTTACAAGAATGAATGTTTATCTGAAAATATATTCTTAAATTTAAATTCCTAATAATTACGACTTTACAAAACAAAAGATATTCATAAAGGTCTAAAATACCGTCCGTAATTAATCATAATCTAACGTAATTATAAAATAAAAATTAATACAATAACAGAAAAAATATTTAATCATATCTTGATTATTATTTATTTATTTTAAGAATTTTCAGGTTATTTTTTCTTTTTTTATTAAACAGAAGTTTATCTAAATACCTTGAGTTTAATTCCTATTTTACACAAAAATTTATTCAATTTAATAGTTATTTTACTAAAGAACAATTTAGTTTCTATCTTTTGCACAAGAAATATCAGAAAACCTAATATTAACTTTATGATTGATCCAGACTTTATAAAGAAATATGTTTTCAAACAATTTTCGTTAAAAATAATATTTAATTAATGATAAATTTCTAGGGTTGCTTTTTATTAAGGAATGAACAAATTTGCCCTTAATAAAGTCTTATACTCATTGTGTATTAATTTTATTTTTTAATCAATACTAATTCAATATCAATTCATAATCCCAATATAAATTTTGTACTCTTCATCTTTATAAGTATTTTGGTTACTAATGAAATAATCTAAAAGTGCATTAAATTTTTAGTAAATTATATAAGTATTATAAAATCAATGTGTGATTAAACACCAATTGAATATCGTTCTGAATTTGAATCATCTCCTATGAATTTCTCTTAGGCTAACTTGATTCTATTTTAGCCTAATAGCCCTCTATAATTAAGGATAAATTACAGCTCTAATTATTTGCTTATACAAGATTGTAGCTCTGCATAATAAAATTAAAATTAAGAAGATCTCTTCCCTTTCGAATAATAGCCTATCTAAAAAATGTTTGAGCTTCAAATATCAAATGAGCAATCGCCAGAAATCTAATAAATAGTGATTAAATAGTCTCAAGCAAAATAAAAAGGGTTTAAATTTTTCATGTTAATACCCAATAAATGACACCTTAAAATATAATAATCAAAAAACTAATAGATACCAACCATTTTGTAAAAATATATCTAATTCTCAAAAATATGAGAAGAAGAATTTTAATTATTATTAAGAGCAAACTCCTTTAAGAAGTAAGAAAGGTAGTTAAATAAATGTATATAGGGATTGCGTAATTGAGTGTTAGTAAGATATATAGTTATGGAATTAAAATCAACAACATACAAAGATGTTGCATAAAGATTAATTTAGGATTTAGGTCAGGATGGCTAATTGTTAGATTTAGATAATGCATAAATTTTAATAGAGTTAGTGCCTAAGGATGAGTAGAATATAAAAAGAAGAGTTTATGATGCATTAAATGTTATGATAGCTTCCAAAGTTTTAAAAAAAGAAGGGAAAAAAGTGATTTCAGATAGATAAAGGAAAACGAAAGCAAGAATAAATGAGACTGATTATTAAAATGAAGAATTAGTAACTAATTGAAATGATTAAGCAAACCTCAAAGAAGTATAATTAAAGATAAGAAAAAAGGCTAAAGGAATTATTCACTAAAGGGATAGCCCTAGAAAATTTAATTAAAAGAAATTCTACAAATGATTTGAAAAATAAATTTATGTTCCCAATTTTAACACTCTAGGGATGTTAATAATAGATTAAATTTCGAATGGATTCTAAAGTGTTAAAAATTATGAGCCAATAGTGGTTGGTATTACATGCTGATTTGGATATTTTGATTTAAATGAAGATGTAATTGATGTATAAAAATGATGATCTTTTTTTTGTATATATTTTTCATAATTAGTATTTCCTAAAGAATTAACTTGATACAAAGATTAAAAATTAATATATATAAACATTACTGTACGAGAAAATATTCAGAGTTTTGATTATTTGAAGTAATACAGACTCAACCACCCTTTTAGAATTTAATTTATGATTAAACAATATTTTTCATAATCTAATTCAATGCTTAACTTAATAAACTTTCTTGATGAAAATTATTAAAACATTTTTAATGTTTTTCAATAGGGTAGTGGCCTGTTATCAAGTATGATGGCAAGCTTTTTTCCATTAAGTGACTCAATATTCTAATAAGTTAAATTAAGTATACAATAATAAAATATACAGTATATTTTATCCACTTCTTATTTACCTTTTAAATTTTCTAGAACTATGCCTCAAAGTTACTTCATCAAGAAATATAATTTACAATTTTTCTTTATTTTAACTTACATAATTTCTTGCTAAATTTTAGATATCCTTATTTGAATCATCAGGGTATCCTGAGTTTTATATGCATTTTATTCAAACAAAAATTATTCATGCTGTTCATTTGAAAGGATTTATTTTGCAATAATATAAATCTTGTGATTTCGATAAAATTACGGTTTTTATATCTATATTTGAATATAAATTAATGAATTAGTGAAACATATTTATAAATATCGCGATATCAAGTATCATACAATAGCGGGCAGATCAAAAACGATTGACCTCCCACTCAGCCTTTTCCCTTACCGCTTATCAACATCCTTCAAACTTTGCTC